ACGGCGCCTCCCGCGAGGTGGACGTGGCGCCGACGGTGGGGCGTGTCCTCCTCAGCGACCGGGCGACGTGGGCGGACCCCGCGGGCTTCGCCCCTGCAGCCTCGCGTGCAGGACCGTCTGGGGATGGGCTCGGACGCGCCTTCCTGGGGCCCCTGCCCGGGGCTCCCTGGGCCGCCTGTGGTGGACCGTGAGCGGTGTCGCCCGGGCGGCAGGGACGGCGGGGTCTGAGGGAACCTACACGATCCGGGTCCGGAGTGAGTGTCCGCCCCGACGTGGCCTCGCGCGTCTCCTGCAGCGGAAGCATCCGCGAGGTCACCGCCTTTGGGTGTCTGGCGTCGCCGCCCGCGCCCCCACAGCCAGCACTGGGCTTTTGCCGTTGGCGCTGGGGCATCCGTGTGGTCCAGCCTCGTCTCTGTCCCCGGGCCGATTTGGTCCGAGGGTCAGTCAGCCGTCCTCGGGATGGCAGGAGAAAGGCTCCGACGGGCGCACAGCTGTGGGTCACCTCGTCCGCCTGCCTAAGCCTTTCCCACGACGGAGACCTTCTGACCAGCTTTCGGGGGGAACCTGGGTGTTCTCGAACCCCGGGCCCTCCAGGAAGTCCGCCGGCACACCTCACCCGCAAGGCTCTTCGACGCCGACCCTCGAGTCCCTGCTGGGGGCATCGTGGGACGTGTTGCTCAGAGGGGTGCCTCTGTCCTGTCCCGAGCCCGCCTCTCTGTCTCTCACTGACCGGTGTGCCTGGATTTATCAGGCTCGGACAACACCCCTAGGACGCTGCGGTGGAGGTTCAGGCTCAGTACAGCCCCTCGTCCCCTGTGGCACCTGCCGACGCATCTTGATGTTGGGAGCCAGGGGCGGCCCCTATGCCCAGCTGGGTGTATCCTGACGCTTCAGAAGGCCCTGCCGGCTGGCGCTGCCCAGACCTGCACCTCAGGTCCTCCTCCGCCCTTGCTCTCCCTTGGAGGAGAGCCCTTGGCTTGCGGTCATACAGCTGAGGTCATGCTTGTCCCCACAGTTCTGGATGTCTCTGCTTGCACCCCAGAGTCACCTCTTTCTCTGCCCCGAGACCCACCAGGAAGCTAGAGGGCCGAGAGCCAAGGGGCTGCCGCCACTGGGAAGCACAGGCAAGCAGATTAGAGAGAAGGGAAGGCCGAGTACCCCTCGGCACGTTCTTGCCGGCGGGCGGGCGGATAGCCTCAGCATGCTGGCCACCCGGTGCGGTGGCTGGTGGTGGAGTGCTACCGGCCTCCCCTCCCCTGCTCACTGAGCTCCCTGCTGCCACATCCTTGGAGCGTCCTGGCTGACACTCGCAGTGGGACCTTGGCGGTTTCAGGCTGTGCGTCTCTTTCCCGAGGCTTCTGTGGGCTTGTGAGAGGGGATCGCTATCTACATGGCAAGTTCCATACAGGTTTTTTACTTGAATAGGTTCAATGTGAAAGGTTTTTTTGTTTTTCGCTCAAAGGATTTGTATCCAGAATGTTCTGGGGGACAGTTCATACTTCCTTGAAAGGGTTTTGTCTATGGGTTTGTTTTTTTTTTTTCGAATTATAAAGGTGAACAGCAAGGCGTCAAAACACTTGAAAGCAGTTTTGTATTGAAGAAACAACTTTACAGGTCACCGAAAAGGAGTAGTCCAAGCGAAGAAGTAGAATTAAAAGAAGAATTTATTCATAATCATGTAAATTAGGAGTCATTTTCCAATGATGGGGAGAAACATTGTTTTTGTTCCTTTCCAAAACCCAGTCACCGCCACCACATTACCGAACCTGCCACCACAGCCCGGTGACACGGACACTCTGGCCCGTGACTGTTCTGTTTCTTGACTTTTGAGGGTTTTGTTTTTAACAGCAGAAAAGGACATGAATTCAGAGATTTCTTTTCACAAGAAGTCAAAGGAGGGAAAACAAGTCCACTTTATTTGTAAATGGGCACTTGCCTTGGCCTATTCCAGCTGCTACAGGAGCCTGCCAGCCTCGTCCCCCTGGCCTGGAGGGGCTGTGGCCTGCAGACTTTTCACAGATGGGGCCTGGCCTAGTGGTGCCAGGGGAAGCAGAGTGGTGCAGTGGAAGCGTGCTGGGCCCATAACCCAGAGGCTGATGGATCAAAACCATCCCCTGCTACATGCTCATCTTTTCCTGGGCAGTTGCCTGCAGACCTGTCCCTGTCCCCCTTCCATTTCCCTATCAGGGTGTGCAGAGCCCAGCAGCACCCTGTTCCATGGTGTAATGGTCAGCACTCTGGACTCTGAATCCAGTGATCACAGTTCAGGTCTCCGTGGGACTGCACGACTTGTTTGTCCCCCTCCCCCTTTTGTCTCTTCATCCCCACTTTGGTGTCCCTTCTTCCTTTTGCACTCAGGCCAAGGGTGGCCCTATGGTGGCCCTGGTGTCTTCTGGTTCTATGGTGTAATGGTCAACACTCTGGACTTTGAATCCAGCAATCCAAGTTCAAATCTTGGTAGAACCTGCCTCACCTGTGGCTCTTGTGTGTCCCCCCTGACACCCGTCCCCGGTAGTGCACAACGCAGTCCTCACCAGGACAGGCTGGTACTTTCCCAGATCAGGGTCTCCCAGATCAGAGACCTCTGGCTGCAGCTTCCATTTAACCCACTGGCCTTTCCATGGTCACCTGTCACCTTTCCCTTATGTGTCCACATGCCCAGGACTCCTTACCCCTGCACGATGCTGCCTGTGGCCTACAGGACATAGTCTGGTGGAGGGGAGGGTTGACTCTGAAACCTCTGGTTCTCCTAATCTTCCCTTGGGGTGCACAGGGCCCAGGACTCTTCTTGTCCCCACTCCTAAGCACATCTCTTGAGAGACCTCCAGGTAAGGGCCCTTGAGCTGGGTTGTATGGGCGGTTTGCCAGAGCTCCTGCTCCTTCCCCAGAGGGAGCACATCAGGGATTTCCTGATCTCTGTCTTTTCAATGTGTACCTCCTCTACCTTGACTTTTAAAAAAGGAGACCAAAAGGGGCTCATACTGTCAGTGCCAGGAAATCTTGAATTTTTATTAGAGCAGATTTAAGAGTCCCGAGTAAGGCCCAGGAGCCTAACTCTGCATCTGCTTCTCTTGTGACCTTGGAAAGACCCTGCCCTCTTGGGATGTCAGCTTCCTCATCTGTACAGTGAGGAGAGTTGGGTGAGCTGATCCCCTGGGGTTCATCCCAACTCTGCTGCACAAATGTGATTTCTATCCTGCCCCTGACTGCTATGGGACCCTGGGACCCAATGTCCTCCTCATTCCCGTTCTCCACCTGTCTTTGTGAAAATGGGCTCGTATCCCACCCAGAGCCCAGGTGAGAGCCCCAAGGAGCCTTGCTCCCCACACTGGCTCACGTATGATGACAAGGGCCTATTCTGAGGGTTCCTTGGGGACGTACTGCAGATATTTCCCTATTTGTGCATTTAAAAAAAAAATCCACGTTTTAACTGCCTCTCGCATCCCAGTTTGGATGTACAATCAGCCGGCCGTTCTCTGCCAGGGTTACTCTCATGAGAGCGTCCTAGAGAATGTCTCGTACTTGCCCACGGGGCACCTCTGGGTGGTGCTGCTCAGGGAAGGCTCCTGAGAGCAAAAGTGCCCACTGCCGGGAGGGAGCCTGCTCCTCACGGACTCCAGGAACAGACTTCTGGATCTACGTTCATGTGTACGAGTGTGCGTGCATCCAACTGCACACGGGTGTGAACGCCTGTGTGCGTGCATGGGTGTGGGTATATGTGTGCAGGTGTGCGTGGACGTGCATGGGTGTGTATTCAGTTGTAAAGTCAGTCTTCCATCCTGGCACTTGCTCCTCCGTTTTCGAAGTGCTCAGCTTATCCTTGTTCAGAAAATAGGGGGCCGGCCTCTGTCCAGAAAGGACAGCAACCCTCTGCTTCCCTGGATGGAAGAGTGGAGGGGTCATTTGCTTCAGATGAGTGCTCTGGCCGGCTGGGAACAAACCTGGCACCTGTGCGGAAGGAGGTGCACGTCAATACCAAGGTTGGGCCCATGTTGGTGGCCAAGCGGCCTCGGGCCAGTGAGCTGCCTGCCTGGGCCAGGTTCCTTCAGCTGACCCATCTGACTAGACTCGGAATCAGTGGTCTCCTCACTGCGGACAAGTGTCCTAGGCCTGCCGCTCAGCTTCGGGCCAGCAGCTGAGGCCACAGAACAGCCTCACGTCCACAGCATCGCCTGAGAGCCCGCGACAGGCAGGTCCTCACTCCACACCCTCAGCTGGCATCAAACTCATGGTGTAGGCAATGGGAGTTCCGTTGCTCACTCATGTGAAGCTGAGGAGGGGGGACCGGTGTCTACACCGGTGGGAACTGAGCCAAGCTCGAAGGCCAGGTGGAAATGGAATTAAGCATCTGGGCCCCGATATGGTCCTGAGCAGGGCACTGGACAGCTCTGGAGGGCAGAGCTAGTCGCTGCGGTGACCGGCACGGGGCAGAGCACGCACGCAGACCTGCCGGACACGCTCGCCGCCTGCCGGGTGGGGACTCATTGTACCGCAGCCCTGACAACAGCAGGCCTGTGGTGTGGCCGCTGGATGCGATGTGAACCTGGGCTTGCCCTGCCTTCCCCCTCACCTGGGACCCGCTGCTCACAGGCAGACACATGGTGGGTTTCCACCCAGCCCCGCCGTGGGGCTGCGCCTCTTCTCTGCACGGACGGCTGGGGTCAGGACGAAGGTGGCCATAACCCAAGGTGAGCTGCAGAGGAGACCTAGCACCCCGCGGGGTAAGCCCCGCTCTTCGGCTTGGGCTCTGGCCCGCGAGCGATTCGTGCAGCGGGAAGGGGCTGCTTCTGAAGCAAGAGGAACTGGCCGCACACCTGGCTGGTGGCTTTCTAGGCCCACTGAGGAGACCAAGGATGACGGCTCTCCTGCTCCGGGCCAGGCACTGGCTGCAGAAGTGCGAGGCGACGGAGGGCGCGGCCTGTGCGACACAGGCGTCTCTCAGAGCGCAGCCCGGGGCCCTGGCTGGAGGGAGCACCTGGTTCATGGATTCTCCACACACAGACCCATCCTTCAGCTGTTTATTCCATCATCCGTGACCGCAGAGGATGAACCCGGTCACGAACAGAGAGAAAGAAATGTACAATCACGCCACACGCAGCCACCAGCCCGGACAGGTACGCGCCACAGCACGACACACAACACGAGGAAACGGAGGGAAGCGGAGGCTTCACGGCATGGAGGGGTTGAGAGGAGCGTTGTCATTCGGGTTCCCGATATCCGAGCCCTCTGCGGAGGTCTCGCACTTTGGGGACGAGCCCGGGCCTGGAGAGCGCGTCTGTGTTCCGGCGGCTGCCAGCCCCGCCTGTGGGGCTACCGTTCGCCCCTTTCCTTCTCTGTGGTGCAGCACGGGCTGCCCGAGCGCCCCTCAGGAAGCACAGGCTGGGGGGAGGCAGGACCGCAGCGGCATCAGGACGGACGGAGGGGAGCGCCCCTCGATAGCACGGCCTGGCCTACACGGGTAGCCCATCTCTGCCCCGTCTCCCTCCTCCGTCCTCCCGTCCCTAGAGAGCCGGCAGCCTCGCCAGGCCTCCCCCGCCTCACGGTGCGCTCCCCTTAACGGCTGAACGGGTGGGTGCGTGTCTGGGCCCTACAGCACCCGCAGCCACGGAGCCCCTGGGTTAGAGGTCTGGTCCCAGGAGGGGCTGCTGAGACACGTGGCCCACTGCTGCCAGGAAAGCTGGAAATCCAGACTTGTGTATCCGCTCCCAATTCCAAAAGGACGCGACTGACTCACATTCTGGCAAAAACATTCAGGAGTAACGTGAAGTGGGTAAAAATGAGAGCCGAATCGGGCAGACCCCACAGCGGCCGCCTCCCGTCACCTCCTCACGCCGTCTCTCTGAGGCAGACGAGCCTGAGCTTCTGGGGTCTTAGTTCTTCACAGGACACTTTTTGGATTTCTTTTAAGCCTAAAAGATAGTGGTTTGTCTTCATTCTTGTTCTTTGGGATATTGTTCAGTCTTAAGATAAAAGGATACTTAAATTGGGGCAATCCTTCTCTCAGGTCAAAATACTCCCTCCAGTCGCACGCGTCACAAAGATAGCACCACATCAAACAGAGAGGGAACCACCAGCAAAGAGGGTAGAGAATTCTGAAAACCAAGGTAGCAACCGAGAAGCCGAGCCGTTTTCCTGCAGGGTTTCGGGCCCGCGCTCAGCTGTGCCTCCCTCCCTGGCAGCCGGCTCGACCTTTACCACTTGATGTCCCGGCTGCCCGCGGGGAGCCCTGCGCCCTGGTACATGGTGTGCAGGGCTTCCTGGACTCTGGGGGAGTCGGCCCCGTCCAGCCATTCCTGGTACAGCTCCTGCACGTGGGCGCTGGTCTCCGGGGGCCGCACAGGGATGTCCGCGTAGATGCCTTCCATCTGCCGCAGCAGCGCCTTGTCTACCCGCCCGTCCTCGGTCTGGGCTTGGCCTCTGCCGCTCAGACAGCCTGAAAGACAAGCAGGGAGCTGCTGCTCTTCTTCCTTCCACTTCAAAGGGGATGGTTCTGGAGCGGGAAAGGGACAACGGCGTTGTGCAGCACCATGGGGCCAGAGTCCGGGGCTGGACTCTGGACATGGGGCCCCGGAGGCCTCAAGAGCCCTGGTTATGGGCTCACAGCCCCTTATGCTTCCTACTCTTAATGTACGTTATCCAGGAAACGTTTTTTACCTAAAAGTGAAGTAAGCGGTCAGCCTCTAGGACTGGCTGGCCATGGACACCCATCGGGACTTGCAGAAGAGCAGGAAGGTGCGGTTTCCTCTCAGCTTATTAAATGATGCCATGATTTATAGGCCTAAGTTCATTTAAAAGAATTTGTAGCAAATTGCCACCCTGGCCAAGCCCCTCTCTACTGGTCCCTTAGCAGCACCCACCAGCTGTGCCTTTTTTTTCTTTTAAAGATTTTATTTTGTTATTTTTTAAAACGGTTCTATTTATTTATTTGAGAAAGCACGAGCGAGGGGGAGTGGCAGAGGAGGGGGGAAGCAGGCTCCCCGCCAAGCAGAGATCCTGACTCGGGGCTCCATCCCAGGACCCTGGGATCCTGACCTGAGCCAAAGGCAGAGCCGACTGAGCGCCCCAGGCGCCCTCCACCAGCTACACGTTTGATCTTGAATCTCGAAGACGCTGAGCCATGGCAGGAGACCCTGTTTACCTTCCCAGGGAGCCCGGTCTCCCACGGTCTGCTCCTCTCCTCAGATCCCTGCCCCCGGCTCCCCCGCTGTCAGGGCGCAGGTGAGTCTGCCCAGCCCCCACCCATGGCTCAGGGGAGTTGGACACCCCACCCCCCGCCACGGGCCCAGCTCACCCACTGCCTCATCCTCACTGTCTGCTCCCCGCAGCCCCACACGCCCTCCGAGGCGCTGCAGGTTGTCTGCGCCCTGGCCACGCCCCCTCTCAGGCAGGCTGGAAACCTTTGGGCCTTCCCTGCTCCATAGGGCGCAGGTGATCCCACAGCCACCGGAGGCCATGGGATCCTCTCCCTGGACACTGGTACCTATTCCACCAGCAAGTCCCTGGCCTTTGCTGTGGAACCCCGGCCCTGGTGCCTCCTGTCAGCCTCCATTTCCCATGTGGGCCTCCCCGGCCTGCCTCTGTCCCTCAGGAAAGAACCTGGCTACCGGTGGGGCCATCTGAACCAAGATCAGGCTCTCACGAGCAGCTCTTCTTTGGGACCATGTCCCCAGGGGTCTTCTAAGGGGACCCTGGCTTTTCTACTATGTGGTGAGGGATGGAGAGGGACCACTGTGTCAGAACCACAAGGGCAGCCTCCATAGTCCCACAGAGCTGTCAGAATGAGCAAGGCCTGGGGTAACCCAGGAGGGCCTGCTTCATAAGGGGTTGTGGGGGCCGTGAAAGGACGCTGGGGCAGTGTGGCCCAGACCCCATGTCTTACCCCCAGCGCAGGCGAGCACCTCCACGAAGTGATATGGGAACCTGCCCTTCTTCAGTTTCAGAACCACGTTCTGGATGTTTCGAAAGCCATACGCAGCAGCGAAGCGTAACAGAACCTCCCCATTCTTTTCGAGGGTGACCTCCTGGAAATCTTTGTTCCTGTAAGATGAACACAGCGGGGTTTTTTTCCTAAAGGTTTTATTTTAATTGAGACACAGAGAGAGACAGACAGTGAGAGAGAGCATAAGCATGGAGAAGGGGCAGAGGGAGAGGGAGAAGCAGACTCCCGGCTGAGCAGGAGGCCGGACCTGGGTTCAATCCCAGGACTCTGGGATCAGGGAGGCAGATGCTTAACCCACTGAGCAACCCAGGCATCCCAACAAAATGGATTTTAATCTACAGCATCTTTTGCGTCCTTCCTCTGCGGCAGACGATCATTTTCCAGTCTAAGTTTGAAATGGTAGCAAAATGCGGGGCGCCTGGGTGGCTCAGTGGGTTAAAGCCTCTGCCTTCAACTCGGGTCATGATCTCAGAGTCCTGGGATTGAGCCCCACATCGGGCTCTCTGCTCAGCAGGGAGCTTGCTTCCCCCTCTCTCTCTCTGCCTGCCTCTCTGCCTACTTGTGATCTCTCTCTCTCTGTCAAATAAATAAAATCTTTAAAAAAAAAAAAAAAAAAGAAATGGTAGCAAAATGAAAAATCTGAATAAAAACAGCACTTTGGTCTTGGCTATTCTAAACCCTGTAAGCAAGCTAGCCCCCCACCCCAACTCACACGTGCACGCACACACCACACGCGTGCGCGCCCACTGGCTTGGGGCAGCGTGCCCGCGACAGCGGTGCTGAGCACACAGGCAGACCTCAGGGTGCGGTAGGTGACCTCCCCCACGTCCTCGTCGAACAGCTGCTTGGCTGCGTGTCTGAAGACGTGCGCCAGGTACCCGTCCGAGCTGGCCCCGTCATGGCGTCTCACCTCTTCCTCCTTCAGGCCTCCGAACCTGGCCAGGCAGACAGCGACCGAGCAGGAGTCAGACTTCCAGATTCAGGATTCCCCGTGAAAAGAGAAACCTTTCACAGATATTTACACTTCAGGCAAAAATCTCACGTTGCTGAGTTTTAACAACCAATATGAAGAGTCCCCTGCGACCGCCGTGGCCAAAGCAGCAGGCGGAGCCTTGCTCAGTGCGCTGGGCTGGTTGCTCCCCTCTCTGCCGCCCGGCATCCGCGTGTTCCCCAAAACCAAGGCACTCGGGCCAGAGCCGGGACTCCGCGCACACACGCCCCAGTGGGGACACGCATGGGCTCTGGCCACAGACTCTGTGGCCGTCAGTTCTGTGCGCCTCAGGGTAGCCTCCCACGCGAGGGCTGCCACCGGTCAGCAGCCCAGACTCGCCCCGCGCGGAGCCCAAGGCCTGCACGTAGGGGAGCGCCAGGTGCAGGTTCGGAACACCAGGACCACAGAGCCCCGGCCCAGTGCTCTCAACACGCAGAGACGTGGGAGAGCTGTTCTTTCCCAAAGGTGACCCACCCTTGGGCAGGTCCAGATGCACAACACCAGGAACACACAGAATTCAGAGGTGGAGGGCGTGGACACGTAAATATCCCCACGGAAACCCAAATCCCCACACCCCAGCGGGTGGCACCGCACACCAGGGCCCGGCTGGTGTTCTGCTGGAGAGCTGCGAGGATGACCGAGGGTCATGGTGGGGGACGAGCCACAACACAGGAAGTGGCAATCCCAGGTCAGGCAGCCCCCCACCCCCGTCTCTCTGCTGCCCATGGCCTCATCAGGAAGAAGGGACGCCACCCACAAGGTGCCCCTCCCTGCTAAAGTCACTTACAGAGTGTCAACGGCAGCATCTCTCACCGCGTGGTCACTTTGCTCCATCATCCGAACGACCTCACCTACAGACAAAGAGGCGGCATAAGGCACGGCGGAAGGAGCCACACGGCCCACGCCAGAGGGACATCAGGCTTCCTGAGGAGCTGCTTCCAAGGTTATCTCCCCCACGGGAGCTTCTGTTAAGGTGACCCTGGGCACGGTCACCCGTACAGAGGGCAGGAACCCATCTGGCGCAGCATAATGCTAACATGTGAAAAATTCTGGTAAAACTTAAGAGTCCAAGTCCTCCTTCTGCCCTTGAAACAAGGAATGCTTTTGCCGACGATCTCTCCATATTTTTGTTTCTGAAGCAGAAAACACCTGTGTATAACCACCTGTGGACAGAGGACCAGGACACAGTGGCTGCATTTACGTGGAGGTCGGTGGTGTGCAAAGATGAACTGAGAATCAGAACCACTTTCCCACTTCCCTTTATACCAGGGCCCCCAGAAACCCTTGCCGCCCACCGCCGTGGCATCACACGCACACGCAGTGACTCAACACGGGATGGAACAGTAAAGCCGGCACTGTGCCCGAGCAAGGCTGGTGCGCGGTTCTCACGCAAACCCACCGGCTACCGGGGAAGCAGAGACCCTCCTCGGGTCCTCATGCTGGAGGGACCCACACCCAGGAGTCTCTGCCCCCAAGAGCCGGCTGCCCTGCCGACGCGGCACGGGGTTCGCAGACATAAGCCACCCCCCAACGGCAGTGTCCCACTGAACGGCTCTCGAGGACACCAGAGAATCACTTCTGCCCCATCACACAGAACCTGCTGCAGGCTCTCCGCCAAGCGCACTGTGTGGGAGCTGCTGGCAAGGTCACTGGAGCCCCACGGGCCCCCACTTGACTCAAAAAAAGTCCCCGTGTTGCCACGTGCAGGTCCAGTCGGTTGGTAGAGCCTCTGTCTCACATGGGACGTCAGGCTGTGGGAACGCTGCCCCCCTACTTCCCTGCAGTCAAACCCTCGGGGGTCCTGTCGGGACCTCAGAGGACGACTGGCCAGAGGCCCCAGGCATACCCTGCCCGCCCACCCCTCACCTGAGGTTAACACGCAGTCAGCACCCCGGGAGCCGTGGGAAGTGGTGGGCAAGTCTTCTCGAAGGGCCTCCAGTTTCTTATCGTAGCAAGGAGCCACGATAACGTGGAAGATCTTGTCTGGAGACAGGTTCTGGGAAGAAAGGGCAAACCCTGCTTGGGGCTGTGGGGAAATGAGGAGGCCAGCTAAGAGCTGGTGCCCAAAATCCCCTCCCCAGGTGCATTCCCATGTGCTGAGGCCACTCTGGGTCCCCGCCCGGCCTCCTGCAGACCAAGCTGTGACCCCTGCCTGCCTCCCAGCTGCACCGGCCCCCCGCAGGGCCGCCTCACTTTGGATGGGGCTGAGCCACCCAGAGCCCAGAAGGTCCGGCAGCTGGAGATGCTGGGGGAGAGCTGCCAAGAGCTGAACCCGCCTGCCCTAGACCTGTGCACATGCTGACCAAACGCCAAAAAGGATAAGGCACTGTGGGACCGTCGCCTGAGCTGGCTGACCCTCAAACTTTCCGGAAACTTCCCAAGGGACACATATTCAGGACGCTCCTCTGCTGCCTGCAGCTGAATCGGCAGCCACACCACGAGCGGGCAGTTGCTGAGTGACATCTGTGGCGAGGCCTCGGCAGAATGGCCCCACGCAGGGCAGAGCCTGAGGAGAGCACCCGGCTGTCCCTCAGCAGGCCCACAGGCCCGGTTACCCTCTAGGATTGGCAAACTCCCGGATTCCCCCAATCAGTGGGGATGGGGCAAGCACAAGGGAAAAGGTCCCACAGTTCCTTTTCCTGCACCCTAAGTACACGAGGGTGTCAAAGCGTGTGGCTTCTTAAAGCTTTGGGTCTGTGGGATCCCTCGCTCTCTGTGTCCTCCAGTGTCTCCAGGGCCAGACCTCACTGGTTCCCTGGAGAGATGTGTCATCTGAGGGGGACTGTGGGCACCCTGGCAGCTGGAGACCCGACCACAAGAGGGGGCCACATCACGGACACCACTGGGGTATTGGGGGCCTCCGGCAGGAACCAGGCCTGGCCGCTGCCAGGGATCCTGAGGTGGCCCTAGATGGCAGGCAGGGGGTTGGAGTGGGGCCCTGCAGTGGGGAGGCACAGCACAGGGACCAGCTAAACACAGGTGCCACGCACAGGGGGGATGCGCGGCAGGTGAGGGGCGTGGGAAGGCCTTCAGGAGCCTGCCTGGGAGTTTTCCCACCATGTGAAGGCAGAAGTGGCTAAAGGAGTCACATGCCTACTCACTGTGGTCTGGGGACAGGCCAGGACCCCACACAGGGCCTTCTTCACTGCAATCATCTCCAGGGGCCCCCATTACCAGGACAGACAGTGTTTCCACTCGATCTGAGGCCAAGACCACCTTCACTGTGCCTGGTGGGGACATCCACCATCTCCTAGCCCGCGTGCTGCCCTCTGGGAGGCGGTTGGCTTACCTGCCGTCTGGCGAAGTAATCCTTCACCAGGGAGCCCATGATCTGCTGGGGAGACTTGGCGGTGCAGAGGTGTGGGGTAACAGGGTGGCCCAGCACCCGTTCGGCATATCGGACCCAGCCTGGGGAGAGAACGGCCCCCCCGTCAGCTCCTCGCAGGGCTTCCTTCTCCTTTCCGTCATACACGAGGAGTTCTGAGCTCCCAGACCCTGTCACTTGGGGGAAAGCCAGAAACCTTTTCTTTTGACCTTCCCGGGAATTCGTGGCACCTTGGGCCCCACAGACCCCAGGTGCATATGCCCTAGACTGCAAGATGGCCCTGCCAGCCCCTGACCAAAGAGGATGCAGCGGAAGGAAGTGAAAACTGGTGCAGAAAACAAGTTTCACGGAGCAGCCGTGCGGCATCGTCCCAGGGCACCCGGCCTCCCACTGTGTTGCTGCCGGCGGCCACAAAGCCTATAGCAAGATACTAGCCAACAACTGCCCCTCTTCAGGGAAAGGACAGAATTCCACAGGCCCGGGTGATGTCCAGAGAGCACACGGGGTCTCCGCCTAAGCACCTGGCCTGGTACTGAGCATCTCCTGAGCCACCGAGGGCTGCTGTGGGCCGGGGTCCCCCGCAGCGGTGCTGTCCGGGGAGCGCGGGTCAGAGAAGGCCTTCAGGAGGCGGGGCTCGCATCCTTCACCTCCTGGGCACAGCCTGGTGAGAGGCCGACCCTACGGACAGGCGTCCCCACCACAGCACCACGGCACGTGCAAAGCTGCTCATCGGACACCGGGGACCGCCGGCCACCTCCCTCTGACCGCTGCCGGCCAGGAGCAGCAGCAGGCACGTCCGGCGACGCGGCAACCCTGTCTGAGCAAACGCCGACCGCAGCGGCCCGCGGCACGCGGGACTGAGTGCACACAGGAAAACGTCCGCGGCGACCACGGAAGCTCCGAGGGGAGCGGCCACGGCAGGACTCTCACTACCCCTTGCCTCTGAACGTTGAACACAAAAACCTGCCAAGCACGATGGAGCCTTTGGGGGCCCAAGGCCCCTCCCACTGCACGGCAGGCCTGGCAAGGCCCCGCCCACCCGGCCTCAGTGCCAGGCCAGCACCTGCCGACATGGCTCCCTGGCGGAGGGCACCTCGGTGCTGTAGGCAAGCTGATGTGGGGCGGCCAGAGGCACCGGACATCACGCCAAACAGCAGGAGGTAAGGGCCAGAACCCACGGAGGATGCACAGCCCGGGGGTGGGGAAGAGGACCGAGCAGGGACGGGGAGGAGGAATCAGGGTCCCAGAGTCCATGCTGCCCTGCATCTGAAACCAGACAGGTCAGCACTTTCCTGAGGAGACCTGTGATCGGAAACTGGTTACTCGACACTGGCCGGGAGCAAACACACCGGCCTGTGCCCTGGACAGCCCCTGCCGGCTCCCATGGAGTCAGGAGAACAGAGAAGCGGCTGCGGGCTTCACAGCAGCAGGGGATGACAACAGCCCTCACGTCCTACCTCGGTGCTGGCTCTTTCTTGCAGCACTGCAGACTCCCCCCTCCCCTGGGCCACCACTGACAGGCCGGGACAAGAGGGGACATACTTGGAGAAGAGGCCTGGCACGAGGCGCCCAGCTCTGCAGAAGTACACCCCACAGGAGACACCTGTCAGTCTGTGGGCAGCAAGGGCACCCCAAGACCGGGAGCCCTGCATGAGGAAGATGCCCCGCGAACTGGCACAGGACTGCCCCCAGCCCTGATCCCATCTGCCAGGTCAGATCATCCGACCTTGACATTGCTTTCATGTCCTTACGGTCGTTGAGAAGCAAAAAGGACAACGCTGACTGTAGACAAGGGTTAGTTTTGAACCGAATCTCGCCTCATGTCCCTAAATTTGAGAGGTGATGTGAAGCTGAACCAGTTATAGTTCTGACACACTTGGGGATAAAGAACTCCCCAGGGAGAGTGCATCATCATTTAGGAAGAACATTCTAGAACCTCCAAACCTACATATAAACAGACTTAAAGGGCTCAAGACCCTGGATGCAGCAAGTATCAGGCCGGATTGGGAGTGGGGGGTGGCTGGTGTGCACCAGGCAGGGGCTGAGTGAGGTGGGGGGCTCTGGAGTGGACCTGCGGGGGTCCCCACCAACACTCCACTCCCTCCAGGTCTAGGATGCCCAGTGCGTTGGGCCTGTGACCTCTGACCTCACCCATCTGTGTGCCTGCCTCCAAGGCAGACTCGTGAGAAATGGTGCCTCTGGCGCACGGAGGCACGGCCGCTGGCCCTGGGCGCTCACCGGGACAGGCGGAGGTGAGCATGGGCAGCGCGGGCTCCTCCTTGCTGTGCTGCTGGTACCGGCGCACGAACTCCTTCTGACTCTCCAGGATGCTGAAGTCTGCGGCTACTGCTGTATCGAAGACATAGTGCACCCCTGCGGGAAAGAGGGCGCGTTCAGCTTCTCGTCACCTATCGGGGGACCCTGGCGAGTCTGCAGACTCCACAGCACCCCGAGCTCTGTGCCTCCCTCTTACCTTGTCTATACCACAGATTGCATTAAGCCCAGGACCGTGCCTCACCTTCTTCTTCAAACAACAAACAGGATCATTTTTCACAATAAAATATGTATGTTTTCTCTCTGGCTTCCTCTTGTTCTCTCTACATCTACACTGATGCAAAACCTCACAGTAGCCATAACGGTAACATGAGATTACATGGAACCCGCAGCACTCGCTTCTGGTCAGAGGTTAGATCTCAGTCTGATGATCCTTGATGTCTTTAAAATAAATAGAGTCGGGGCGCCTGGGTGGCTCAGTGGGCTAAGCCTCTGCCTTCGGCTCAGGTCATGATCTCAGGGTCCTGGGATCGAGCCCTGCATCGGGCTCTCTGCTCAGCGGGGAGCCTGCTTTTCCCCCTCTCTCTCTGTCTGCCGCTCTGCCTACTTGTGATCTCTGTCAAATAAATAAATAAAATCTTAAAAAAAAAAAAGAGTAAATTGGCAGCCCATCCCTTTCTGATGGCCATAACTTTTATGCTGATTTGTAACTATCTATTTTCTTCTTTTTAAAGCTTTTAGCATTTCTTTCTTAAGAAAGATCTTATTTGAGAGAGAGCGCAAGCACGGGGAGGGGCAGAGCCAGAGAGAGCCGCAGTCTGGGCCCAGATCCGACGTGGAGCTCAACCCTACGACCCTGCGATCATGACCTGAGCCGAAATCAAGTGTTGGAGGCTTAAATGACTACGCCACCCAGGTGCCTATTTTAGCTATCTTTAAAATAAGTTTTCTTAATACTGGCACATAAGCCCAAGACAAAACATTATACTTTTAATAATTACAGCAAAGTGAATTAAATAACCTTAATAACTGCAACTAGATAATTTCTTTAAAAAATTATAAAACATAAGGTAATGTTTTAAGATGACACTTAAGTCAGGTTCACTGTGGATATGTTTTACTAATATCTAATGCCCCACTCTTTAAAAAATTATCTCCCCAAATAGGGCCTTTCAGTATGAGGAGAGACAGTAGCCAGGAACTCTGGTCTCCGGTAAAGCCAAGCCCACCGGAAGCTTTCTCAGATCACAAGCCTGAGGGAACGGCCCCACCGGCACCGGCGCCGTGGCCCAGTCCGGCAGCGGTGCGCGCAGGAACCATGCAAAGTGCCCCAAGGACCAGGGGCTTATTCCAAGTGTCGCCTTCTTTTCTTAGTAACCCTCCACGTGTTTAGGTCTTTAAAAGCCACTGCAGGGCGCCTCGGTGGCTCAGCTGGTTGAGCATCTGACTCCTGGTTTCGGCTCAGGTCATGATCTTGGGGTCTAGAGACTGAGCTCCATGTCGGGCTCTGTGCTCAGCAGAGAGTCTGCTTGGGATTCCCTCTCCTTCTGCCCCTCCCCCAGCTGGCATGCTCGCACACACACTCTTTCTAAAATAAATCAATCAATCTTTTTTTTTTTTAATTTTATTTGTTTGACAGAGAGAGACACAGCAAGAGATGGAACACAAGCAGGGGGAGTGGGAGAGGGAGAAGCAGGCTTTCCGCTGAGCAGGGAGCCCAATGCGGGACTCCATCCCAGAGCCCTGGGATCATGACCTGAGCCGAAGGCAGACGCTTAACGACTGAGCCACCCAGGTGCCCCTAAATAAATCAATCTAAAACAACAACAGAAAAAGAATCCACTGGGCGACTGGGTGGCTCAGTTGGTTAAGCGTCTGCCTTCGGCTCGGGTCATAATCCCAGGGTCCTGGGATGGAGCCCTGTGTTGGGTTCCCTGCTCCTTGGGGAGTCTACTTCTCCCACTGCCTCTGCCTTTCTCTCCCTATTTGTCACTCATGAATAAATGAATATCTTTAAAAAAAAAAAAAAAAGACGCCACTGCAGAAAAACCAAGACTCATGTTGGCAAACGCCTCCAGTTCTCCTCTCCCGAGCCTGCCTGGTGGTCTTGTGCAGGAGGACAGCCCAGGGTGGCAGACGCTACACAGAGGGGGGGTGGGAGGGGGCTTGGGGCTGGGCAGGCCAATAGCAGTGAATGACACGGGAGCCTGCCCATCACTACTCTGGATGGTTCCATTCCAGCTCATTCACATTTGAGCTCTTGGGCACGTTTGAGAGGGACCAAGGGAGATAGCCCGTTCCCTCCCTGCTCTGCTCTCCGGAGAGCACCTGGAAAACTGGATGCCGGTCCTCTTGCCATGGTTAGGCTTATCCCAGCCCTCTGCGGGCCCTGGGGCCAAGACGACACCACACTCCTTGGCAAGCCCCGGAGCCTCCCACATGTCCCTGCCACCCCATCACCCGCTGCTCCCAGAGGGCCAGCCACAGACCTCACGCAACACCCGCCCGCACAGTAAGGGGGTGAGGGGCGCCCGCCTCCTGCAGGTTGGAGGCTGGGTCCTCTCACGTTCCTCGAGATGCTGGTGGAGGTCCTGTCACGCTGTGCCCCCGGGAGCTGAACACTGGAGACACAGAGGGCAGCTGTCGGCTGGCCCCGTAGACTCACGACAGGATCAAGGCGCCTCACCAAGACTTTTGAGGAAGCCGCAGAGTCTTCTAGATGCATCCGTCACGCTGAGGCGGAATTTGGCGGCAAAATAAGGCAGAGACTGAGGACACACGGACACTACCAGCACTTTGTGCTGTGAGCGATCACATTTCTGGGGGAAACAGAGGAGAGAGCGATATGTGTGCTGGGTACGCAGAGTGAAGTAAGACACCATAATGAAAACTCCAGTCAAACAGAATGTAGTAAGTGTTCTATGAAAACACTGATAAAATACACTCGCACTAGCAAATATAATTAAGGGAAAAAATTAGTATTACGAAGTGTAACGCCCCTAGAGATTTCATCAATTTTTAAAAACAATATTCTATCGATAAATGTGAACACCTGAACAAAAGTGGATAATTCTAAAGGAAAAATAAATATTAAATATTGGCCCATAAATAAGTGAAATGACCCAATAACAATTTAAAGACACACACACCAGCGTATTTCAATTAGAACAAAATATACACACGCTGGAACAGTGTCCGGAGATCTGTCCCCACAGGACCTCAATCCCTGGTCATTATGGCAAACTGTGGGGCATGTATGTATGTGTGTATATATGTATTTTTTCTTTTTAAGGAGAGAGAAAGAGACAGAGCAGAGGTGGGGCAGAGGGCGACAGAGAGAAATTTAAGTAGGCTCCATGTTCACCACAGAGCCTGACACAGGGCTTGATCTCATGACCCCAAGATCATAACCAAAGCTGAAACCAAGAGTCAGACACTTAACTGACGGAGCCACCCAGGATCCCCAAGCTGCAGGATGTTTTTAAGGAGTGGATCATGCTCACCTTCTATAAACTGTTCTAAAAAATACTGTATGGGGCGCCTGGGGGGCTCAGTCAGTGAAGCGTTTGCCTTCAGCTTGGGTCATGATCCTGGGGTCCTGGGATGGAGCCCCACACTGGGCTCCCTGCTCAACAGGGAGCCCACTTCTCCCTCTGCCTGCTGCTTCCCCTGCCTGTGCTCATTCTCTGACAAAAACAATAAAAAAAATCTTTTAAAAAATTGTGTAAACATGAAACCACAAGGCTATCAACACCCTGAGTCAAAACTGACAGCGGCAGCTGAGGAACTCCCGAGAAAAACACGAACAATTCAGCAGCAACACAAGGGCCATGACCCAGGAGGGCAGCACAGGTGAGGACGCCAGCGTCAGAAGGTCTCCCACGTGACCCTCTAACCTGGCGTTCAGGGGACACACGGGATTACCACGACAGAGCTGCGTGGGTCAGACACTGTCCAGCAGGGTGCGGAGGCAGGGCCGGGGGCGTGTGAGTCCCAGCTGCTAACAGAAGTGGGAGGGCAGAGGGTCGTCCGTCCCCAGCTCTAGGAGCCAGACTCAGTGCTTCCAATCCTTCCACCTGATGCCCTGACGCTGTCCTCACTCAAACGTCCCCTCTCTGAGGGAGCCGCTCTGTGACCGGCGGGGGAGCAGACAGCACCCAGGCCCACGGGCAGCGGAGAAAGGGGAACGGTGGTGCCCCCGACGGCAGCGGGAGCAGCTAGCTCAACCGACCCGAACCTCCCCTCCGCCCAGGCTCGCGAAATAACCATTTCCTTCTTCTTCCTGCCCGCTTCGGCAGCGGAATGCTGACTGGCAGCACATCGACCGGAAGTTTCTATAAACACCCACGTAATAGTAGGACTTCCCACTGAATCAAGCTGTCGCCACGGGGAGGAGCTAGGCTGCCTCATACACGAGCCGAGTCTGTTCAATGTAGTAACAGAGGAAAAGCCATTCTGTTCAGAGCAGGACGAGCAGGAGCAGGTGGGGACTGCCGCTCACTCGGGGGCCTCCCGGGGAACCCGCCCACCAGGAAGGGAACCGACGCACTGCTGACGACAGGAAGACAAATATTCCTCTCTGAAACCATGACCTAAAAATGCTGGATGCTGGTGCTTCTGGGGAAGCACGCCACAGGGGTGGCGGCAGACACGCACGCCGCCGCCGGGCTCTGTCCTCTGTGCCGCGGCGCCCGCGTGCAGCCCACACTGCTCATGGGCTCTGCCCGGCCCTGGCACACTGGCTGTTCTCGAGACGGCACGGGGAGCTCCCAGGGGCACCTGCGCTGCCGCAGGCAGGCTGGGCTATGACCGGGCTTCCTGAGTGTGGCCAGGAGCGAGGGGCAAACCCAGGTATGCTTCAGCCCCTCTGGCTCACCTGCCCCTCCTCTCACCTCTCCAAAGCTGAGTGACACAGCTCTACAGGACAGCTGAGGGACCACGGCCTTGCCCCAGCCTGAAAAGCCCATCGGACCAGAACCTTGCCTCTAGGAACAGACTAGGGACCTTGCCTCGTATCACGTTAGTGAGGGAACATGACCCTGGGCAGGGGCTCTGGAGAGACGTGACACCAGCAAGGGATATGGGGCCGGGGCCAAGACGCGTGCCTGGTGCCCCGCAGAGGCTTCCATGCCTCACCCTCACCTCCCGCCCCCAGACCACAGAACCAGCAAGCGCCCAGGAGCCCTACCTTATTAAGGTTCAGAACTCGAAAGAAGTCCTTGGCATTCTGCTGGGAAACCTGGACTCCTTCCTCCGCCGTCACACAGCTGTCACACGCCAGGCAGTCACTCAGAAAGATCTTGGCGTCGGCCAATTTACGGAATTCTCCCTTCTATGAAAGAAGGATGTTTTGGTCTGATTCTTCAATAAAGACTAAAACATGTGCTTCTCTGGGGAGAATGACAGCATGAGACCAACACGAACACAGACACGGATCATCTTGGACAACACAGAGCCAGGCCTGGAGCTCCGGGTGCCGGAGGGGGATAGAATAGGCCACAGTGATATCAAGGAGTCACACCGAGGACAATCCAGGGTGAGAACAGGACAGCACTGTCACATTGTTGGAAGAAATCCACATTCCTGTGTCTTAGGAGCTGGCCCAGTGCCTCTCGTCCTTCTGTCCCCTTCTGTGTTGCCCCTGGGGATTCCCGCTCTTGGCCTACTCTGTACTCCCCGGTGAGCTCATCAAGGCCCACAGCTCCCCAAGGAAGTCAGCAGCCTGGCTTCCCGAGGTTTGAATGGGGCCCAAGAGTTTCCAACAAGCTCCCAGGTGGGCCAGAGCAGCCACCGCAAGGGTCTGGAGCACGTGGCCCGGCACACAGCTGGGGCTGGGGGCCTAGTAGACACTGCTGTGCTGCTAGGAGAATCCTGGCCCTCTGGCCTGGCAGAGGTGCCCGTGCGCGCTCTCTGTGCTGCTCCCGGCGGGACTTCCTCCATGCCCAGTGCGCTATGCACCGCACACTTCTCCTTTCTGCAAGCTCTCCTGGGCTGGGTCCGGTCCCTTCCCACTGTCCTGTTCCTTCCACCTCCTCTGGTCTCCTAAACATGTGTATCCTGTGGAAGACTGTCCATCGCCCCTTCTCTGCCATCAGCCTTGGCTCCCAGAGCAGTGCCAGCTCCTGCAAGCCCTGACACCTCTCCCATCTTCACCTCTGGTGGAGCCCTCTCCTTTCCCAAGCCCCACCGAGCTCCGTGCCTGTGGACCTCAAACTGCACTCAGCTTTCTGTGCCACACCCGCTTTCCCACTTTCAGCACTGCGGTGGCCTGCCTGGGCCCCCACCACCCTGTCTCCCAGGTCCTTTCCTTCATTTTCTCCTGTTCTAGCTGCCTTAGGCCACCTGCCCCCACCGATGATCTGTCTCCTGCCCCAGACCACTCTGTCCACACCTCCCCACTCCTGGTGAGTGCACCCCGCCCCTGAGCTGCTCACCCTACTGGGGTGCCACCCACCACACCGGCAGGATAACTTATCTCTGCATTACCACAGCCCTGACAGGGAAGGGACCCAACTCCCCAGGTCACTGATAAGGAAACCCGGCCTCCCGGGTTTAGATGTCTGTCCGAGGTGATGTGGCCAGAGGGCAGCTGTGGGAGGCACCAAGCGCTCCCTGCTACTTCTGCCTCTGCGCCCTGGGTGCCCATTTCATCTGCTGCTTGCCAAGCCCTAAGCTGCCAGAGCACAGAGCAGAGCTGGTATAAGAGGGACGAGATCAGCTCCTGCCAGGTCAGACCTTGTGTTGGCACCAAGAGACTAAAGCAAAACCTGCTGCTGTTTCTCCCACGCTGCCAGCTCTCCACGAGTGAAGTCAGGACCAGTCCTTTCCAAGGGAAGAGTGACCTCCCCTACCCAATAAACTTAAGCCATCGCTGCTAGCTAAGAAGGATTTAAACCCTCAAGAATGGAGTTAGGGAAGAAACCACTGGAAAAATAAACTAACAGGATCATGAGATTTGGATTCTTTTATAAATTACCTACCCAAACTCCCATTTTACAGAGTGAAATTTTTCTTTTAAAAAATTGGAGGGGCAGGGGAGCCTGGGTGGCTCAGTGGGTTAAGCCTCTGCCTTCAGCTCAGGTCATGATCTCAGGGTCCTGGGATCGCGCCCCACATTGGGCTCTCTGCTCTGTGGGGAGCCTGCTTCCTCCTCTCTCTCTGCCTGCCTCTCTGCCTACTGTGGTCTCTCTCTGTCAAATAAATAAATAAAATCTTAAAAAAAAAATTGGAGATTTAAATATTATACCACTATTTCCAATCAGTGACTAAAGATGATATTTTCCTTTGTTCTTCACTCCGTCGGTTTCGGCTGGGTGTGTGTATTCTGAGAACTCTCGCTCTTGGCACTGCTGTCTCGAAGGTCACGTGCCTCGGAATGACCAACCCAGGGCCTCGTTAGTTCTTGGATGGGAGGAATGACCACCCCACATGCCCGCAGCCCCTGCAGGGGCACCACTTCAGCATGTTCTGTCTTAGAGCAGTGGTGTGCCAGGGACAGAAGCCCTCCGAGAAGAGGAAAACAGCCCCGGCCGTTTACTCCAGGCTAACGTGAAACTGAGAAATTACTTGCCTCTCCGTTCTCCTGGGCCAGACTCGATACTTCAGCTGATGCATTCTCTTGGTCCTCGGTTTTTGTTTTCTTACTACATTCCTTGAAAAAGCAAAGGAACATAGAAGAGTACTTTTAATTTGACTCTCAATTTAGAAAGATGTATGTACAATCTCATCCATTAGCCTCATGCATAGAAATCTTTTCTATAAAAATAAAAGTACCCGGACCTGTGCACACACATGCGTGCCCTTGCCTATCCGTGTCCTTGCGGTAACTGAAAACTAGAATCAACGTGGCCTTCCACCGGCAGGTAAATGAACACCGACAGCCTGGACACCTGCTACATTCAGATTACGCTGAACTAGAATTGTGAGTAATGCTCTGGAAATGTATCTCTGTATAATGTTAAGTTAAAAAAAAAAAAAGGAGGAAGTGATAAAATATTTATATGATCCAATTTTTGGAAAAACAAACCAAAAAACCCCATTCCCACAGTGAATGGCTCTTTATGTTGTTACAGCCTAGAAGCACGCGTGGAAGGCTACCACGGTCCCTATGGTTACCCAGCTGGAGAGGAGTACCAGCCCTGTCCTTCCTACGTTCCTGTTTTCTTACTATAATCATGTAAGTTGTATAAAAACTCCTTAAAAACATGTTTTGGGGGTGCCTGGGTGGCTCAGGAGTTAAGCATCTGCCTTCGGCTCAGGTCATGATCCTGGTCCTGAGAGCCCCACACCAGGCTCCCTGCTTGGTGGGAAGCCTGCTTCTCCCTCTCCCTCTGCTGTGTTCCCTCTCTCGCTGTGTCTCTCTCTGTCAAATAAATAAATAAATAAAAATCTTTAAAAACAGGCAAACACACAGAAAACATGTTTTGATCATTGTTTCAATCATCCACATCAAGAACGGTGCCCGCTAGGATTGCCCTGAGTGGTAACAAGTTAGTTTGTTTTTCTGAGTGGGGTTTTTTTGTTTTTGCTTTTTGGGGGGGCTTCAAACATATTTTGAAACGACAGACAAGTGCCCTAGAACTAGAAAGACTGAGCGTGAGCCCAAATGTAAGGTGACTACGAGGCACCTGGAAGTGTAACCTGACGCGCAGGAGCGCCGGGCATCGGGCATCCGGCAGGTGCAGCGACAGCCGCTTACCAACTGCCCTCCACCCGGTATAACCCGAACCAGCTCTGTCACACAGGAGACCGAGTCTGAGGGATGATGCGGAGGCACAGGCTCCGAGAGCGGCATATCCTAGAGACCTGCGATGGGGGTCGGGGGACCAAGGGACCAGGGAACCCGGGACCGCGCCGCAGCTGGGACCGGACGCCAGCACCGGGCACCAGGTCTCCTGGAGGCCGGTGACCGCAGGCGGCTCCGACCCCGACCTGACCCCCTGATCTCGAACAGCCCCGACCCCGGCCGGACCAACCTCCTGACCCCTAGCAGCCCCGGCTGGAACGACCCCCGATCCCGTGACTCCGAGGAGCCCCGACCCCGGCAGGACTGACCCCCTGACCCGGAGCAGCCCCGACCCCGGCAGGACTGATCCCCTTACCCGGAGCAGCCCCGACCCCGGCAGGACTGATCCCCTGACCCAGAACAGCCCCGACCCCGGCCCGACCGATGTCCGACCCCGAGCGCGCGGGGCCCACCTTCCGCGTGCAGTGCTCACACTTCATCTGGAGCGGGGCAGGCCGGGGGCCAGAGTTCGGCCTCAGAAGAGCACCGGGAGACTCGGTCACAGATGCCCGGCGCTCGCCGCCCTTTGTTGAAGTCACCCCCGGCGCGGCCCCACCCCCGGAGGCTCCGATCGACCAATGAGAACGCCGGGAAGGGGCGGACCACAACTCTAAGCCAATACGAGCGCAGAGGGGGCGGTGTGGCTCCGCCCACATATCTCCGCCTCGGCCAATGACAACCCCGGGAAGGGGCGGGCCGGGCCGTGGAGCCAATCGGAGCGCGGGGGCGGAGAGCGGCTGTCGCCCGGGAGGCCCCGCGGGTCATCTCGCCTTTTTCCGCGGCTCGCAGGTCGGGGACGGCCCGGAGCGGACAAGCAGACCTTCTCCAGGAGGCGGACAGGCAGACCCTCTGTAGGAGTTATCCTGGGGCGCCTGGTCCGTCAGTTGGACCTGGAGACAGGCTTCGCCAGGCCACCGCCATTGCCGCCCGGAGGCGCGTCACGTAGGCCGGCCACGCGGCAGTGCGCACGCGCGGGTGCGCACCACGTGGCGCCTGGGGAGCGCTGGAAGGTGGGTGTGAAGTCGAGTTCGCCCGCCGTTCCAGCACGTGCCTGGACGGTCCGGCGCCGGCTTTGCAGGGAATGAGCAGTTGTTGTTTCTGGGGGAGATGACCCCGCCTGCGGGGCTCAGACGAAGCTGTTTAACTCATGGTCGCGAAAGCTGACGTCCTACGACATCCGTGTTGTCCGCTCTTTGCAGGATGGTCGGAGCGGGAAGCCTGCCGGGGGCAGTCCGGGGGCCCCGAGGGAGTCTGGTGGTCTCCGGCCGTCGCACCGGCACGCTGGGCTTCTTCGGGGGCAGCGGGGAGCTGCCGTCCCGACCGAGCCGGCTGGCCCGCGGGAAGCAGCCCACGTCCGCGGAGGACACGGGGCCACTGGGAGGGGCAGCTTTAGACTGGACGGTGGCTTTGCCAGCCCCGAGCTGTGACTGCGGCTGGGGGGGCCGGCGTCCTCCCGCTGCGACGGTGCGGCAGTGGTTACTGCGAGGTTCCTGCTGGTTCGCAGCTGAGCGCAGTGTTGGGGGGCAGCTTCCCCTGCCCGCCCCAACCCCACCCAAAGGACGTTCTCTTGATTCCATTTTAATTTATGGGGTTCCTACAGCTTCTTGCAGATCCGACAGGTAAACCCGCGGGGTCTGAATCGGCCGCCAGCCTAACCCCTGCGTTACTCGTCTGTGTCAGCGCCATTCCCTCCATTTTCAGCGGGAATAAGAGGGTAATTTTAGGTTGTCATTTTGTGTGTATTTCTCCTTACTGTTTTAAAAACATTTTCACGATACCATTACCGCATGTGAAAACAAGTTACAACTACGTAATTTCATCAGATATGTATTTAGTGTCCAGGTTTCCCTAATCTCTCCTAAAAAAAAAAAAAAAAGACTTTATTTGCCGATAGAGAGTGAGCACAAGCAGGGGGAGCATCAGGCAGGAGAGGGAGAAAGCAGGCTCCCCGCGGAGCAGGGAGCCCAAGGCAGGGCTCCATCCCTGGATCCTGGGATCATGACCTGAGTGGAAGGCAGACACTTAACCAAAGGAGCCACCCAGGTGTCCAGCCCCCCCCCCCCCCCCCCACCACCTTTTTTTTTTTTTTAAGTCTAACTCCTAAGTCAGTCCAATGTATTCATTGGTTTGTGTTTCCTATGTCTCTTAAAAAATTCTCTGTTTTAAAATAACTTAAGGCTCAGAAGTTGCAAAGACACCACAGAGTGTCTGAAGGCTGTGTGTTTAAATTTGCAGATTCCATCCACATCCCTCTTTCTCCTTGCATATCATTATACAGAAGTCAGGTGGTCTGGCTGTAGGGTTTCTAAGAAGTGCTGCCTGCATCCTTGTGGAGTCCTTTAGTATACCCTTGTCCTCTGAAGTCCCAGTAAAAAGTAGTCAAGCATTCTCATACTTTGATCCCAGGTTAAATTTTTTGGCAAGACTATTTCATAGATGTTCCTGTGTAATTCCATCAGGAAATAACACCAACTCCATTCTGTGATATTAGTGCCCATTAATAAAACTGCATAGATCGGGCTCCTGGGTGGCTCAGTGGGTTAAGCCTCTGCCTTCGGCTCAGGTCATGATCCCAGGGTCCTGGGATCGAGCCCCACATTGGGAATCTCTGCTCGGCAGGGAGCCTTCTTACCCCCGCACCCCCGCCTGCCTCTCTGCCTCCTTGTGATCTCTGTCTGTCAAATAAATAAATAAAATCTTTTTTAAAAAACTGCATAGATCAATTCATTCATGATAGCAATGTCTTAGAAGAACATTTCCTTTTTTTTAAAAAAGATTTTATAAATTTATTTGACAGAGATCACAAGTAGGCAGAGAGGCAGGCAGAGAGAGAGAGGAGGAAGCAGGCTCCCCGCAGAGCAAAGAGCCGGATGTGGGGCTCTATCCCAGGACCCTGAGATCATGACCTGAGCCGAAGACAGAGGCTTTAACCCACTGAGCCACCCAGGTGCCCCCATTCATGATAGCAATGTCTTAATCCTATCATTTCTTCTTAATTTACTAGCAGGAATATATTTTTTAAAAGATTTTATTTATTTATTTGAGATAGAGAAAGTGTACGCGTGAGCACAAGCAGTGGGAGAGGAAGAAGCAGAGTCCCCTCTGGGCAGAGACCCCATCGATCCCGGGACTAGGATCATGACCTGAGCTGAAGGCAGATGCTTAACCAACTGAACCACCCAGGCGCCCAAGGAATACTTTCATAATGAGAAACTCCTCTCATTCACTATTTGATTACTCTGTTGTAAATTTTATAAAGACAAGATGAATTCATAAATTTGTAAAAAAAAAAAAAAATCCAAATTCCTTTCTCAGCATCCTCCGAAAGTGAACAAAGAATTTAAAATATATATCATTATGAATTATGGATTTTGGGAGCTCTTGGGTGGCTCAGTTGGTTGAGCATCGTAGCTCAGGTCTTGATCTCAGGGTTGTGAGTTCAAACCCCATGTTGGGCTTCACATGGGCATGGAGATTACTTTAAAAAAAAAAGAGTTATGGATTTAAATGGTTGGAGATTTTCAATTCATTTGAATTATTCCTATTGATACTCAAATCCTTTTTTTCTTTTTTGCTAAGAGAATTTCTTCAGCTAGGCTCCAAAATTTTTTGAGAAGATGCTCAAATGTTAACAGTCTTTTTGCTTTTTGATACATTTGCTTGTACATTTCCTGCTTAGGCGTGAAACCAGTCCTTTCTCCAAAAAGCCTGGTTCCTTTAGTAGGAATTGGTATTTTAAAACCACAGAACGGATGCTAGAATTGCTCATTGCTACTGCACTGGTCATTGTTTCTAGGACTTTTCAGTGGACAGCATGAGGAAACGTACTTTTTAAAGCAAAATGCATTATGAACTCACGCTAGTCCTTCTGATTCAAATCTAGGCATACAGGGTTCTGAATAATTGCCCTCACCGACCTCACATCCATCACTCCTATTTGAAATTCTTGGTTCCCAGTAGTACCGACCTAACACACACATCTGCATAATCTCACATTACATACATTAAAAAGTCTCAGACTAACAATGCTAACTCACTCTACTATCCAGAATAAAACCACCACATTTCACATATTCTGTTTCAATATATATTGGCATCCTGTACAACCCCTTCTTAAATGATAGTACCTTACGCACGTTTCTCCATCTTGCTTGATGGAGAGCACGCCGTCGCAGTATATAGAGATAGTCCTTGTTCCTTCGTGGGGTCCAATCAGGAGAGAGGAAGCACACAATAATTTGAATAGAGTTTAATATAAAGAATCACTAGCAATAACTGGGGATTGGTGTGAGGGATTGGCCAGTAAAAAGAGAATGCAAGAATAGTAAGAAACAAGGAGTAACCACAGCCCCCCAACCAGGGCTATGACGTCGGAGCCCACTCTGTGCCCCAGGATAAGATCTAGACTGTTGGAGGAAGCCGCCTTTGGCTCACTGGATGGCAGAGAAGTCAGATGTCGCACTGACGGAACTTGCTGGAAATCTAATCTACAGGGTGCTGCGCAAAGTCTCCCCCCCCTCCCCCCGCCACACAAGGGATCTCACTAGAGGTACTTTTCTACAAAACCACTCAAGGGGGTTGTAAGGAGAAGCTGGTGGATACTGGTTACGTTGGCCAGCGTGCCCAGTAAGGGCTGGGCGCCGCAGAAGCCCTGGGAGCTACAGGAGCCAGAAGCCAAAGAGCTCTTCCTCCCGCAGTGTCTCTCCGGCACCCTCTACTGACAAAGTTTAGCATCACGCCAGAGAGCGCACAAAAAATAGAGGGCTCAGATCCATTTTCAGGGATCGCGTAATGAAGTTTGAATTTAGAGCTGAGATAGAATGCACTGATAATTGGCACAATATACAGTTTTATTCACTCAGTCCCCTATTTATGGATATTGTATTTCCAGTCTTGCTATTACCAATATTTAGCAGGATTCTGACCAAATTAACTGTCACTTGTTCGCACACTTAACCTTTGTAAAAGTCCAGTGCAGTCTTCATTTTTAAATGGCTTATGATCCAGTAGAAAAGGTGAAATTATGCAAATACATGTAATGCAAAGTAGAATTTCCTGGGTATCCTCTCGGTTCTACCTAAATTCTGAGGCTTGCGGCAAGCAGAAGGACTTAAAGAAGGTATTAACAATTCAAATAAACCTTCAAGACAGTGTAGGGGAAGTCCGTTTCAAGAAGATAGAATGCGAGCTGAGGGGTCCGTTTGGTGAGACTGCTGTGTTCAGACGCAGCCTAGATTTGCTGCAGCTAGAGTAGATGGGCTCAAAGCGTGGTTCCTGGACCAGCAATATGACCACCATCTAAATTTTAAATCCCCACCCACCACTGGGAACAGGTGCCAGCATTCTGTTTCAAAAACCCGCCAGGTAAGGAGCGCCTGGGTGGCTCAGTGGGTTAAGGCCTCTGCCTTTGGCTGGGGTTATGATCCCAGGGTCCTAGGATCGAGCCCCGCATTGGGCTCTCTGCTCAGCGGGAAGCCTGCTTCCCCCCCACCCCCCGCCTGCCTCTCTGCCTACTTGTGATCTCTGCCAAATAAATAAATAAATAAGATCTTTTAAAAACAAAACAAAATAAAAAAGACCAAAAACCTGCCTGGTGATTCTGATGCCTGCTCAGGTTGGGAGCCACAGGCAGAGGGTATCTGAAGCAGACTGATGAAGTATAACTTTGGGTCGTGCGCTTCTATTGGTCAGTCTTCTAGGGTTCTGCATACCAACGTACATATTTCTTTACCAGGAAATACGCACGGTTGTACTAATGTAAGTTCTAAAACACATTGGGAGTAAGTAGGAAAAGAGAAAAATGGGAATACAAGCTCTCCTGTGTTCTCCCAGCACCCCACGTACCACTCGACCCTCCCCCTGCGGCGGCCACGCGGGGAGGTAGGCTCCTGTTTCAGGTACGCTCCTGCCCTCACCTGGTCCGAATCAGCCAGGCAAGTTAGGGCCCTGGGCAGGGAGGGACCACGTGACTCAGTCCTGCTTGGGTCTTCACCACTCGGCAGTAAGGGAAGGTGCTGCTTTGGTGGAGAGGGAACAGGTAGGCCGCCTACGTGCCTGCCGCAAGGCTTTCCTGGAGCAAATGGTCTTTCCTACCGCAATTTTCTGGCAACAGCCCAGCCAATGAGAGACACACAGTCCCGCCAATGGAGAGACAGTCACAACCCAGCCCAGGGGAGAAGTCCACAGTCCAGCCAATGGAGACGGTCACAGCCCACCTAATGGGGAGGGGCCACCTTCCAGCCAATGAGAAGCCACCGTACTTCCAGTTTCCCGTTCCCTCCAATGGACTTTCTGTTTACAACAACCCCCGCCCAGCCACCCCCTATAAAAAGAGCCTGCGGCGGGCCCTCTCCGCACGTGCCTGGGGTTCCGGCAGGAGCCGTGCGGGCAGGGCTGGGGACTCTGCTCACCCCCAAGCGCCGCGTCTTCGCGGGCGGGGGACCCCGCGGTGTTGTTCCGAAGGTTGACGCTGTACCGGGACTGCACTGACTCTACAGACCAAACGCGCAGAATTTGTCTTTTCAAGACACGAGCCACTGCAGCTCCAAGTGTGAACCAGTGTCTCTGAGCCTTGCAGGGGCTCGTCCGCCCCGTGCCGGGTGTTGGCGGACCTTCGGGTACCGCCCATCTCTGTCAGCGTCGTCGTTCGCGAGCGGTTCTGCTTGCGGGGCACCGGCTTGGAGAAGCGTCCGCCTTGGGCTCGGGTCGTGGCCCCGGGGTCCGGGGAGCGAAGTCGGGCTCCCTCTGCCCCTGCTGCCCCCGCTCGCGCTGTGTCTGCCTCTCTGGCTCGTCAGATGCTAAAAGCTGAAGCGACTTTATCTGAGCGGAACGACCGGGCGAGCGAGCACGGGCTGGGGCGGGGGGGGAAGGCAGACGCCCCCCGCTGTGCCGGGAGCCCGATGCTGGATCCGGGACCGCGGGATCGCGACGGAGCCGAAGGCCGACGCTTCACCGACTGAGCCACCCGGGCGCCCCTTTTATCAACGTTTTAAGCGAGAGGTTTTGCGGCATAATCCACGCTTCCGACTTTGTGGGGTTCAGTCACCCCAGACGTTCTCGGGGGCGGCCGTCACCAGCCCAGCTTCCCGCCCGCAGTTGAGGCGCTTCCCCAAGACCCCCCCCAGACGCCGAGCTCCGCCGCTCAGCCTCCCGCCAGGGCATGGGTAAGCTGGCGGCCCCGCCCCGGAAGTAGGGCCCGCTCGCGCCCCAGAGCCCGGAAGTCAGCCGCAGCCCCGCCCGCTCCGCGGAGCCCGGAAGTCAGCCGTCCCGCCCCCAATCCCGTAGGTTGGCGGCGGGCGACCTGCCCCAGGTCCCGCCCCTGCGCCCGCGCTGCCGGGTCCAGTGCTCGGTAGGCGCGGGAGTCGGGCCGGTGTCGCGGGCGGCCGGGGCGGGGGAGGCGTTCCAGAGCCGCGGGAAGCGGGCCGGGGGCGCGGGGCCTGGCTGGGGGGCCGGCGGGTCGGGCGGGTCCAGCCGCAGCAGGGGCAGCCCGGGGGTGGACCGAGACGCGGGACTCGTCCGTACCAACCGAACCCACCCTTTACTGTCGTGAGTTTGACTTCACTGCGCCCCAGTCGGAGCCCCCGGACCCTCCGCCGCACGTAGCCTGTTGTCCGAGCGGCCGGAAACAGACCACGACGAGACTCGGAGTCCCATTCTCCGGGGGAGCACAGGGCAGTGCGGGCCCTCTGATAGATTCTGCTGGGGTGTCGGCAGCTCGGACGCTGCCGAGGCTTCCGAGGACTGCGGCTTCCGGGTAGGACGAGACAGCTGATGGCCGAGCGCTTGTGGCCGCTTCGCGGGTACTGGCTGGGCAGGTGGCCCCCGTGCAGTCGGCGTAACTGAGCAGAGAAGGGCCTTGCAGAGGAGGGGTCCCCGGGGGACCGAAGAGACCGCCGTGGACACAAGCTGACCGGCTCCCAGGCTGGTGAGGGGCTGGGCGCTTGTGTGCAGGCGGCGGCGAGAGGACTCCAGCCACGGTGTGTTCTGCCCTTCCCCAGCGCGTCTTGTCCGGAGTGGTGCGCGCCCAGACCAGGGATGTACATGCAGGTGGAGTCCCGCACCAGCTCCTGCCTCCATCTGAAGAGGGCTCCAGGCATCAGGTCCTGGTCTTTGCTTGTTGGTAAGGATGTCCGTATTTCCCCCCAGGTTAAAAACCTAATTAAAAAAAAAAAAAAAGAAACTGTCCTCTGTTCTCTTAACCCCAAGTATAACAATTGCTTTGCTACTTTGTATCTTCCCAGCTTTTATCCTATATGCACTGCTTTTGACCTTCATGAGTGCTTTTACATGAGGATCTGTCCTTTTTCCACCACTTAATATCTTAACGTTAATATTGCGCATGTTTTTCTGAGTTCCTCGTGTTCCCCTTTTGTTTGCTTTCATACATCTGGTTGCAAGTGTATGTTAGAGGCTCACGTGATGGGCCACAGTTCATTCCCGTTTTTCCTTCGTTTCTCTCACCGTCCATTGGAGGGTCCTACACTGCAGGGGCGGTGGCACGGTGTTGACGAGAGTGGCTGTGTGAAGAGTGGTGTGGCTGTGCCCTCCGTGGCATGTCTCTGTCCATCTTTCCCGTGACCCTGCATGTGGCCACCTGCCTGTTCTGCTTCCCGCACCACACTACGGTTCTTCATCCCACACCACGTGGAATGCTGTCTGGCTCTGGCTCCTCAGGTCTGGAGCCTTGGCCGGAGGAACATCTCCGGGAATACTGTGAAAGGCATTCGCCATGTTTCAGAGTGTGCTTCCTGGCTGTGTCCCCGACTTCTGAGCCTGGTGGTCTTCTGTCCCCCACCCCCACCCCCAGCCATCTCTGGCACCGGGAAGGGAAGGGCCTGCTCGTCTGAGCCTGTGGCTCCTGGCAGGAGGGGACTCTGGACTCGTGGGGGCCCAATAGGGAGGCACTTGCTTTCTTTTCTCTTTGCAGGAATCTTGTCGATTGGCCTGGCTGCTGCCTACTACAGTGGAGGTGGGTGCATCACCTCCTCCCCCTCCCGCAGGAACTTCCGTGGCTGTTTGGGAAATAGAGAAAGAGAGCGAACCCACCATTTGTGGTGCTCACCGAGGCCCAGCCTTTGGGGCCAAGGCACCTCCACGCAGGTGCAGCCCCAGCTCGTGTGCTGGCGTTCCCCTTCTCCTTCAAGATTTTACTTATTTGACAGAGAGAGATCACAAGTAGGCAGCACAGCAGGGAGTGGGAGAGGGCGAAGCAGGCTCCCTGTGGAGCAGGGAGCCTAACGCAGGGCTCGATCCCAGGACCCCCGGACCATGATCTGAGCTGAAGGCAGAGGCTTAACCCACTGAACCCCCTGGTGCCCCACCTTCTTGTATCTGAAGCACTCTACCGCGTCGTGACACATTCTTCAGAAAAGTGCTCTCTCGTGTTTGCCTGAGGCTGCACTGCAGGCTGAACCACACTTCCAGCCGCCCCTGCACGTCCCTCCCCCTCCACCATCACACACCAGGCTGTGATCTGCAGATGCGGGTCAGCCCTGATTCCTGTCTCCAGTAGACACTGGAGGGAGACACTGGACACAGAGGGCACACAGAGCCTCCGGCATTTCACACGTGGCTCTGCGTGACAGGGCCAGCAGTGTCTGGTGGCTGCCCTGGGCTGGGGTCAGCCAGCCCCAGAGGCCACCCCTGCCTAGTGTCAGCTGGGGAGGGGCCCCCCCCATGGCATGTCGGTCTGTGGTCCTCTGCTGCTGTCCCTCACCTGGCTGTCTGCTGTGTTTGCTCTTCAGATAGTCTGGGCTGGAAGCTCTTCTATGTCACAGGCTGCCTGTTCGTAGCCCTGCAGAACCTGGAGGACTGGGAGGTAAGGCCGGCACAGGCAAGAGCGCGAGGGTGCAGTGGGGGTCACAGCAGGGGGAAGGGCTCTGGGGCCTCACACGCCCCATCCTGAAACTTGACCTTACTGGTTTCTGTGCCAAGGAATCTTCTTTTCTCCTAGAAGCTTTTCATGACGATTTCCACTAAAATTCTTTACTCCCTAGTGTTGCCATAGCCCAGGACAGAATGAGGGCCGGTGCTCTCCCCTGTGGGTGGGTCTCTTCACCACGAACCACAGGACTTGGGGGCTCTCTGACCTCCAGACTTTAACCTCCATTCCTTTGCTTGATGACTTCGCTGCTGTACTTCTCTTTCCCTTGGGTAGAGCATCTGCTTCCACGTCCTCCTCTCTGTACACCCCTGGCCCCGGGGGCCCAACAGATGGGAGTCCGAGAGGGTGTGGCTGTAGGTGTTGGCCCTGGCGGAGCCGCCCGTGGCTGTCCATGCTGGGTGTCAGCTGGGTGTCCTCTCAAGTGTCTGCTCTGGCCAGTCTGGGCCCTGGAAGTTCCGTGTGCGGCTGGTCTGCACGCACAGAGGCTGGCAGCCGGGTGATCCCCTCTGGCCGGTTTTCCAGGAAGCGGTCTTCGACAAGAACACCGGGCAGGTTGTCCTGAAGACATTCAGCTTGTACAGGAAGCTGCTGACTCTTCTCAGAGCCGGCCACGACCAAGGTGAGGCGCGTGGCGCAGGCACACGGGGTGAGGCAGGAGGCTGCTGATTCCAGACTGGATGGAAGGTGGTGAGCAAGACCCAGAGACCAGGCCCGAGACCTAGAAATGGGGTGGGTCAGAGCTGCCCGCTGGGTGACACAGGGTGCCCCCGGACACTGCCGGGCAGCCTCGAGCTCAGTGGCCGGCCACTAGGCACCAGGAAGGCATTTTTCAGCCATTGGGGGAAGATAAAGCAGAGAGCTTAGCCCGTCCTTGGTGTGCTGCTCATGAGAGTACAGGCAGGCTGCTGCTTCTCACCTGACGGTGCTCTCCTGTGCGCACAGCCAGCCTGTGCAGTGGTCGCTGGCCCCTGCTGCCATCCTCTGGAGAGTGGCCCCAAAGTGCTGTGCCCAGCACACAGGCGGGAAGGGCAGGCGAGGAGGGGGGACCACTGACTGTCTCCCGCCACGCCCCGCAGTGGTGGTCCTGCTGAATGACATCCGGGATGTGAACGTGGAGGAAGAGAAAGTCCGGTATTTTGGGAAGGGCTATGTGGTGGTGTTGCGGTTTGCAACAGGCTTCTCCCACCCCCTCACACAGAGCGCTGTCATGGGCCACCGAAGGTAAGCTCTGGGCAGGTGACTTGATTGGTCACAGCTGGCTAGCTATGCCCCTCGCCCCCAATAGGTGACCCCCACAGTGGACTGTGTGGCTGGGCCCAGGGAGAGGACTTGGAGGAAGTAGCCCCTGCTGCTAGGGGAATATTGGGGAGTCCCCACAGGGGACAGAGGGGTCTGGGAGTCATAGGTGATGGGGCCCAGAACAGAAGGCACCCTGTCCTAGAGGGACCCCTGGGGGTGCTGGAGGTGGGTGGTCCAGCAGGAGAATGGCGTGGTCTTTGTGGCTGCCTCAGGGCTGGCCATGGTAACCTGCCCTTTCTCCCGCGGCTGGCCTGGCCCAGTGATGTGGAAGCCGTCGCCAAGCTTATTGCCGCCTTCCTGGAACTGCACCACCTGGAGAGTCCCGTGGAGCTGTCTCAGAGCAGTGACAGCGAGGCTGATGGCCCAGAGAGCCAGAGCTAACGCCCGGAGAGCCCCTGGCCTTGGTTCCATGGGCCACTGGCAAGCCTTCCTCCAGCGCCCGGCTGTGTCTGGCCCCAGGGTGGGACCCTCTGCCATTCCTGCTGTTTGCTTCTGCCCTCTGAGCAAAACCACAGGCCGGACCTTCTGCAGGCTCTGAGCTGTCCAGGGAGGGCACAGGCCTCAGAGCTGCCTCCTGGCATCAGAGGGCTGGCCCCAGCCTGGGCAGTGAGGCGGGGGGACTCTGAGGGCACACGCACCCCACTGCCCACCAGCTGCGTGGGGATCAGGTCTCTGAAGTGGGACACCCAGGGAGGTTCGTCAGTACCGGCTCCCCTGCAGTTCAGCTCCCCAGTGACAGCAAAGCTTCAGCAGGTATGCACAGTGCCGGCAGCTGGGTCGCCAGGAGGACGCCCACACTGGTATGATGTCCCCGGGGATCCCAATGGGCCCTGCCCCACATGCTGCAGCCCTTCCCTGGCTCAGTCCCCTGTGCGACTAGAGTGCGGTGCTTGCCCAGGGTCTGCAGGGCCCAGGGCGGGCGCTGAGGGTCCCACCTGGCTGTGTGCACTGCAGCCACTCCCAAGGCCTCCCCAGCCCGCACACAGCCCCTGACCAGCCGGGCCTGCCACTGGGCTTGCGCAGGGTCGGAGAGGCCCCACACAGGGCCTAGGCCAGGGTGGCTCCCTTAGGAATCCAGGCAGGACTTGGGGCCCAGGGCTGCTGCAGGGGCCCCCACAGAGGTGAGGCAGTGAGGGCACCTCAGAGCCAGCACTCAGGAGCTGAGCCAGAACAGCCGGGAAGTGGGGAGCCCCACCCCCTTCTCCAGAGAGGCCGCCAACCCTCTAGTTTGGGGAACAGTCATCGACACATACCAGAGTTGGGTTTTAAGCGGTAAAACCTGAAAGCTTTCTTCTTCTAAAATAAAGTGTGAAATGCTGTCACTGGTTTCTGGCACGGTCACCCCGACTGGAGGGTGCCCTGAGTTGGAGGGACCCGTGTGGCCAGCTCCCCTCTGCCTTGGCTGGGCTCGCGGGGTGAGGAGGGTCTCAGGACCACGGGTGTGGGACGCGCGCTGGCAGCGAGTCTGACTCCCACCAGCAGCGGCTCCGGCTCCCGCTGTCCGCTGTATTTCAAGCGCACAAGTTCCACACGCGGATCGGTCGGCAGGCCTCAGCGTGTCTTCCCTGGACCTCGCCACTCGTCCTTCCCAGCGAGAACCGTCTGCTCCCTGGGTGTGGCCTGTTGCAGGGAGTCTCGGGTACAGGGGGAGGCGGGCTGCCGGCGCCAGGATGGACACAGCTGGACGGGGTGCCCGGCCCGCCCCCTCAGGGGTCCTGAGCCATGTGCGGCCTGGCGGTAGCCGCCTCTCTAAGGTCCTGCAGCAAGGCCTGTAGCCGCCTCAGGCTGGGCTGCACGTTCTCCTCCAGCCACTCCTCCACAGCGTCGGGATAGAAGACACGATGCAGGGCGGCCTCCAGCTCCCGCACCATGGCGCTCCACCTGGCCAGCAGGCTGAGCACCACAGCCAGCAGTGAGCCTGCCTGGTGTGCACCCCTGGGCACCAGCTCACAGCCTGTGCACGACACTCATGTCCTCAACAACCTCACGGGTCGCTACGGTTCTGTGCCTCAGTTTACCCATGCATAAAACGGCTATCCGTGCCCATCTCACAGCGAGACAGGAATAAATGAGTCATTACGTTTCAACATCTGAAACTGGAATGCGCTCTGCTATCGGCCGGCAGGGTCTGTCTCTACGCGTGAGCCTGTCAACATCTGACCGTGTCTTCCACTCAGTGAGGACACTGCATCGGCCTCAGCTCAGAGCCGTAAGGAGGGCTGCTGGCCAGGAGGGGCCCTGGACCCTGCCCGGGGTGAGTCTCACCCTTTTAGGCTAGGAATGCCCTGGCTTCTCGAACACGTACAGCACAGCTGTTTCAGCCAAGTTGATTCACTTAAGAACTCATGGCTCAAGACCTAGAAAGCTCGTCTGGGTTCAAAGCCGGAAGCCACAGAGGATGTGCAGCCCTGGGGGTGGGCACTGCCAGGAGCGGGGGCAACTAACCTGAGCGCCTGAGGCTGGATGTGCTGGACCATGACCGGGTGGATGAGCTTCCTCCTGCGGTGGTAAGGGCTGAACCAGCCGCTCACGTACCTGGGGGGCAGACCCACGCATGCGGGTGCACCCACGGCGGCTGGCCAGGCAGCCTCGGGGGCGGGGGTGGTTAAGAGAACTTCTTTGAAAAACCTTAAAGAGTCTGGTGGAACATGTAATACGCTGGTTCCCCCCAGAAAGTCTTTGTCTGGGACGGGCCACGCTCACCCTGTCCTGTTGGGAGTGTGGGCTCAGCCCCTGCCCACTCACCTGTCCCTCTCCAGCAGCGTGTCCACGGAGCTGCGCAAGTGGAGGCTGACATGCGTGACGAGGGCCAGGATATCGCTGCCAGGGAAGGAGCCGGGCCCCTCGCTGCACGAGAGCCGCCATGCTGAGCCGGGGGTCCAAATGTGAGGGGAGAGGCAGGGCCGGGGGCGGGGGGTTACCTTGTAAAATCAGTTACTTCTAGGTTTGAAATCCCGAGAAAGTTCTCCACTTTTGCTTTAACGTCTTCGGTAAACCCTCCTGCAACCAAGCACAGACAGAGGTGGTCAGAGGGGCCTCTGGAGAGAGGGTGGCAGGGCCCCGGCGCCACTGCAGGCCCAGTGGCAGAGTGACCAAGGAGGTCAGAGTGCATGTGCCGGCCCAAGCAGACCTCGGCCACGGGGCTTCATACGAAAGACATGAAACGGGCTCGCTGTGTTCAAAATGAGAAAACGAGGAGAAGCAGCCTCGCCATTGGGGGAACCGTCAGCCTGTGCTGCCCGGCGCGCCCACAGCTGTCCCGGACGTACGCAGGACCTGGCCACTGCGGTTTCTCAGACGCAGAACATTCCAGGACAACTGAAACGAGCCAGTGAGGCCTGCACGTGCCAATGTGGACCGGGCTCCGTGTCAGTTCGTGCGGGAGCAGCCGGTGGGGCACGAGGCCCGGCTCGTCTCCACAGAGGGAGGAGGGCTGCATGGCAGCGGTGCCCACCTCAGAGGCAGGGCAGCAGAAGCCAGCACCCAGGTCAACGCCAGAGCCGGCTGCAGTGTCCGCGCGCCTCTGTCTGAACAGTTCCCGCGGACCCTTCAGGAGGCAGGGCGCACGGCGAGGCTCAGTGTCCATCCGGGAGCCAGACCCGGCTTTCCTCGTGCCGCCCCACCCTTGTGCGCCACGCAGCCACGGACCCGCGCCCTCACGGACAGGCTGTCGGCCCGTGAGCCCAGAGCTCTGCCCATGTGGGGAGCTTGGCCGGCTCAGGGCAGAGTCCTTTTCAGCACGCACCCGGGACGAACTGCTCTCACAGGCTCACGGTGTCTGGGGGCCGCGGGGCGGGGGGGTGGCTGAACCCCTCTCCACCGGTGAGCATGACCACAGTCCCGCTCCGAGGAGACGCGATCGGGGGCATCTCCGCTCCTGCCGCCCGGGAGGAGCAGGGAACCGTACCGTGTAGGAGCGACTGCAGGCAGACGGCCAGGGACGGGATTCCCACGGGAAGCAGCTCGCACAGCACGGAGAAGTGGTCATACCTACGTCCGGGGGAGAGGGCCGCTCAGCTGCCACTGCCCACCTGCACGGCGGATGCCTGTGCGCTCTCCCAGGCTCACCGGACCGGCCTTGAGATGCTCCCACAGGGCTGGCTGCTACCTTGGGCCGCATCCCACCCGGAGGCCCTGCCTAGGTTTGCTGCTTGGGGTGGACAGCCTGACTTCCTTAGTAAGTTCTCTGACTCTGCTCTGGGAGACCTGGGGGTCAGCAAGGCACGGGCAGGGGCCTCCAGCCGTCTACCCCTCTGCCCTCCCCATCGCAGGGGTAGACCTGTGGCTAGGACTTGGCCAGGAGCCAGGGTTCACTTACAGCTCACTTTTCAAATAGGGCAAAATCCCTAAAGAGAGAAAATCTCTCCTTGCGCTGGCCACACGTGAGACAGGTCTTGTGTGGCCCTGGAGGCAAGGCTGCCAAGGGTGTGGAGGTGTGTGGGGGCTGGGAGGACCAGGGTGCATCGCCCCAGACACCCTGAGTGACGTCCCCTCTGCAGGGTTTGGGGGATGGCTGTGGGGGTGTTAGGGGCCCAGGCTCCTACCCTCATAGGAGCACCAGCCCCTTCCCAGGAAGGGCTGAGCAGACAGGCCAAGGAGGGGTGGTCTGTTCCGGGCCATCAGAGCCGCTTGGCCCCTGCCAGGCAGGTGGGCGCCGCCTCACCTCTGCCAGCCGGTCAGGACGATGCCCTGCAGCATGTCCGCAGGCCCACGGGCCGCCACTTGCAGCCACTGCACGTTGTTCCTGAGGTGGTGCTCGATGGGGGTCAGGGCCTGGCTCACCCCCGTGGCCCCCTTGAAGGCGCTGGCGGCCCACAGCCGGAGAAAACCACACTTCCGGTACTTTTCCATGAGAAGAGCTAGGCGGGAAGGTGAGTGGTGTGACAGGCCCGGTCCGAGGAACGGTCAAGCCTGGACACAGCGCCTGTCGCGGACCGGAGAGCAGGAGGAGCCCCCAGCCGCCAGCTCGAGTTCCAGACAGACTGAAGTCTCAGCGAGATCAGAGACGCCACCCAGATGCTCGTGAGGAAAACAGCAGACAACATGGGACACCTCGGGAGTGATGTGGGCCGGGATGGGTGCCCCGGTGGCCCTGTGGTTGGCCGAGCTCCCTCAGGGAGGGGCCTGCAGGGAAGCGAGGCAGCTGGCAGGGTCCTGATGAACCAAGGGACAGAGGCCCCTGCACACCCCGGCCAGGCAGTCAGGGCTCCAGGGTCTTAGGGGCCGTGGTCCGGGTACTGACCTTTGCCATGGACGTCTAGGTCGGCCCCGTAGTCCCAGAGCACAGGCTCCACGAGTTGCGGCAGCCCCGATGCTGGGGGCAGAGAGCGGCTGTGAGTCGAGAGCCATCACCCTGGCCCCACAGTCCCGCGGCCCTGCAGCCCGCACCCCCCCACCCCAGCCCCAGTGTTACAACAGAGTGCACACCGACTCGCTCGGGAGCCTGGGCTGTAGGTGCAGACTGGACACGGCAAATACTGCAACCATGGGTTTGGCCAACTTTGGCAACGAGCAGACTGAGTTCTGTGAAAGGGGAACCCCCAAGCTGGGAGCCCCAGAGCTTCCTGCGCGGAGGAACCACTCTACGTGCCGCGGTGGGGGCGCCGGGACCGGGCGCAGCAGGAACACACTACCACTTGGGCTGGATTCTGTCTCATCTTATGAGAACCCAACGGCCACACTGGTCGGGGCTGCCTCCAGGACACCTGGCTTTGCAGAGGCTGGGGCACTGGCCACACTCTGGGCGGGGGCTCTGAGTGGACCATGGCGTGCGTCTCTGGTCTCAGCCCAGAGCCTCAGATGGAGTGAGCCCTGGCGGGCTGGAAGGGCTGCTGTCCTTGACCAGCAGCCTGTGTAAGCTTTAGCCACAGCGCCCGCAGGGTTGGCCATGGGGTCCTATGGGGTCAAGGCGGCCGGAAGCACTGGACACTCCAGGCCCAGTGGGACCCCTTCCCCACCCTCCTCCCCCTGCTGGCCAGGCCCACCAGGGCCCCATGGCTACTCTCGGCTTCAGACCTACCACTCTGCACTCCCTGCTGGGGGAATGGCATTTTGCGTGAGAAAGTTTGGAGAGTGACTCTAAGGGGGTGGCCTGTAGTGAGAGCTCTGGGGGAGGGGCCCCAGAGTCCGCTCCCAGCAGCCACTCGCCTCCTCACTCCCGGCACCAGCGGCCTGGGGGAGGCACCACCTGCTGACCTGAGAGCTGGTCCTCGGGGATGGCCCGCAGCATGTCGTCCCACACCAGGGGCCTTGTGGCAGGGTGCCGGGCCAGCACGTGGCAGGCCACTGCCTTTATGTGGGACAGACACAGTCTTGCTTTGGTGTTACATTCCTGCTGCAGCCACCGTTTTGAGGCCTCGCCCTCGCCAAGGTAATAGACCTAGAAGGAAGCACAGGACGGGTCTGCCCGGACTGCCCAGCCTCACTGTGGACACACTCGGGAGAGACCGGCCCAGGCCACATCGGCCAGGATTGCAGTGGCAGCTGCCCGTGCAGAGGAGTTGGTGAAGGGCCTCCTTCTCCCCCGAGGCCTAACTTCCACTCCAGGCTTCCTTTAAGCATTCACAGTAGCCCGAGGGCAGAAATAACCAAGGTGTCCACCAGCCAGCAAGCAGATAACCAACGCGGGGGCTGGCTCTGCCGCTGCTCGGGGTGGACAGCATGGCCATTTCAGGTCAGAGCCCAGCCCTCGTCCATCCCGCAGGGCACCCCTCGCTGTGCTCAGCAATACAGCTTTGCCCGCACGAGTCACGGGTCAGCTGCGATGGACGCCCTCACTGGGGGATATCTCCTCGGCCAGTTCTTCTTTATCCTTGGCACGTGGACTATTTTTCTATGTAAGAAACTACCCCGCAAGGTGGGACAAGGGCCCTTGAAGGGAAGAAGAGAGGCTGCTGTGGTCTGGGAGGGACACACCGGGCAGGCGAGGCCCAGGAGTGGACAGAGCATCAAAGGACCCACCTCGTCGCAGCCGACATGGAACCACCGAGCGCCCGGGTGCAGCTCCATGACCTGGCTGACCATGGCTCCCACCAGCGCCAGGGCCTCTGCCTCATGGGGGTTCAGGGTGTTCGGGAAAAGTGCCACTTCTCGGAGGTGAGTGAGAGCCTCATGCTTCAGCACAAACTGCAGAGATACAGGAGGTGACAGGAGAGGACACGGGGATGCAGAAGCCTGCAGCTGACCCGAAGCAAGGCTGGCTCCAGGTCCCCCCCAAGGGTGCTGGGGGGCCGGGCGGAGCCTGTGGCTGGCTCATGGCCCTTCTGTCAGGTCTACCTGGGCCCAGTGAGAGAAGTAAAAGCCAGGCTCATTCACATTCAGATGGAGCGGCCACCAGCCTGAAATGTGATGGGTGACTGTGGACATGAGAGCCACAGAGGTGACACACACTCTCCTCACACCTCGGCTGACCGGAGGCCACACACACACCCACAGCCGAGGCAGACGGGGCACCGGCTGAACCCCCAGTGCCCCTAGCCCATACCACGGGTGGGTCCTCACAGCCCCAGGCCACTGTGGCCCAGACCCTGGCTGAACACCAGCCATGGAGGCAGAGGGGTGGCCCCTAGGAAGCCAGGCCACAAACGCATGTATGAGTAGCCAACCGAAGCGTCAGCGGCCGCACAGCCGGGGGACAGGCTCTGAGGCTGAAGCGGCTTACAACCAGCTGCAGCGGAAAAAGTCAGATTCGCAATATTATCTGAAATGCCCAATTTTCAACCAAAAATCATGAGATGTGCAGGGGCGCCTGGGTGGCTCAGTGGGTTAAACCCTCTGCCTGTGGCTCGGGTCATGATCTCAAGGTCCTGGGATCGAGCCCCGCGTCGGGCTCTCTGCTCAGCGCGGAGCCTGCTTCCCCTCTCTCTCTGCCTGCTTCTCGGCCTACTTGTGATCTCTGTCAAATAAATAAAAAAAATTTAAAAGATTTTATTTATTTGAAAGAGAGAAAGCAAGCGAGCACAAACTGGGGGGAGGGGCATAGTGAGAGACTCAGGCAGACTCTCCACTGAGCAGGCAGCCCGACGTGGGGCTCGATCCCAGCACCCTGAGATCATGACAGAGCCCGAAGACAGATGCTTAACAGACTGAGCCCCCCAAGGCGCCCCAACCCCAGCAAGCTTTCTTACAGATGTACAAACTGAGTGGAAAATAAAGCTCTTATTACCCGATTTTACTTAAGAGTCACAGTGAAACAACAAGAATAAAGACAAGAAGGTACTGACAAAGAGATGCATACGTCGATGGACAGGACAGTTCAGAAACAGACCTTCACAAATAAGGTCAAGTGACTTCTGACAGGCACAGAAGCAACCCCAGATTCCAGAGTCTAAAGGAAGGATCATCCCTCAGTAAGCGGTGCCGGCCCGACCGGCCATCTCAGTGGTCATGCACTATATGCAAAAAAACAATGACCCTCACCCTAACCCTCACGCCTTACACAGAAATTAACTCAGCATGGACCATGACAGCAAGTGGAAAGTGTGCGAACGTAGAACTTTAGAAGGAAACAGGAAAAGTCTCCGGGAGCCAGTGACTGGTAGAGTTCTTAGAAACGACACGAGGAGCAGAGGCCATCGAAGCAAAACCGAGAAGCCACACGATCAAAATCAGACACTTTTGCTCTTTGAGGTCCTCGGAAGGACTGAAAACGCGAAGACCAGACCGGGAGCAGATGCTGGCCAGTCGTCATCCAACAGCCCTCGTATCCAGACTGTCCAGAGAACTGAAGAACTCAACAGTGCCGAAGGCCAAACGTGCAAAGTCCCTGTAGTGATTTCACCAGAGGGAACATCCTGACGGCAAGTAGGTGCACGTTAACGGTCTTTCTCCAGAAGGAGCCAACCCTGAGGACACCCTGGCCTTGGGCTTCTGGCCCAGAACCAAGAGGGAGCTCACTCCCGGGGGCTCAAGTCACCTGGTGGAAGTCCTCTGCTGCAGTGGCCCCAGGAACCAACCCAACTCGGAGAGCAGCCAGGCCCCCTCGAGGAGCAGCAGTCAGGGAGCGACTGGGAGAAGGGGTCAGAGCAGCACCGCTGGGGGGGGGGCTTCGGGCAGGTCAGGTAGTGGTTCACACAGGGCTGGAGGCAGAGGGCTGGCGGCCGCCGACCGGAGACAGAGGGGCAAAAGCAGCAGGGTGCACGATGGCCTGAGTGCAGGGGTGTGAGGGGCGCCAGAACAGGGCAGAGGAGCCCGCATCTGGGGTCATGGAGGACGAAGGGGAAGCAGGAGAGGGCATGGCACTGTCTGCACAGGGAGGGTCTGGAGAGGAGCCGTGGGGACCGCCGCCACACCCAGCGGTAGCGACAGGACGGCACGCTGCTAGCGGAAGCAGTGGTGTGGCCGGGAGTGGGGGGCCAGGAGAGCGCGGGGTTTGGGAGGGAGGTGCTGGGGCTGCGAAAAGCCAGAGTCAAGGAAGACGGACCAGAACCTGTCACTACATTTAACGACTTGGAGGACAGCGGGGCCCTGGAGGGACGCTCTGTGGACTGCAGCCCGAGGCGGCGGGAAGTGAGGAGCCCAGGGAGCACGGCAGGGTGTGTCACCTCCGGAGGCCTAAACGCGGGGGACACGGGCAGGGGAGAGGGCGCGTGAGCGGACGTGGACACAGCTGCTCTGACACAACTCGCACCTGAACACGGGGAGGGGCTGGCCACAGGGCCAGCAGGTGTGTCCAGTGAGGAGAACCCAGAACCTGCAGCCATTACATCGATGCTGTGTCTAATCTGCGGTCCATCTTTTGTGCAGGTGTGAAAACTATTTCTGAAGATCACAGAGGAGCCTGGGAAACATCTCCAGTGTTAAGTGAGGAATGCAAGTAAGAAAGGAAACCAACGTGGCCCTCAGGGCTCCATGGGATCAGGCATCCCCCCCCCGGCCCCACCGCTCCGTTCCCTTGACAGAGGATGCTTTGACCTGGAGCTCTGTGCTCTTCCGCCTCCTGCAGGGCAGAGCTTGAGAAAGAGCTGCTGCCTGCCTATGGCTAGCCACTGCCTGTGGACCCCCGAGCCCCATACCTGGCACCAGGTAACTTCTGTTCCTCCCACTTACCTCCATGTGTCCAAATGTCTGCACCAATGGAATGACCTCTAGCTTGTTCAGTGTAGCCAGATGTAGGATCTCTTTGATTTCGGGGGGGCTGGGAGACAAAGATCACCCAGAGGTTCACTCCAGCCCATTCACACCAGCCCCTGTTCACACGGGCTCCTGTTCACACTCCCCCCTCCCTCGTCAGGTTCCGGCGGTGCACCCTCCTGCGGAAGCCAATATGCTCACTATTTCCAAAAAGCTCAAAAGATATTCCTAAGACTTAAGAGAGGGCTCCCACCTAGAACTGGGGGAAATGATGCTCTGTTAGGTCCTCAAGTAACAGTTTGCTTTTTACCAGCTATTTTTACCCAAGCTCTGTAAGAAGCTAAAGTCATTTCATAAGAAACTGGGTCATACATGGAATCATATTCTAGAACAAGGGTTGGCAGATGGGCCCAAGGACAAATTCACCTGCCCGTTTTCATACAACCCATTACCTAATAACTTGGTTGAGAGAAATCAGAAGAAGAAAAACTTTTCATGACATCTGAAAGTTCCACGAAATTCCTATTTCAGTGCCCACAAGAGGAATTTTATGGGAAATCCGCCACGGCTGGCTGCTTGTGCCCCCAGACTGCTCTAGCAGAGACCAGTGGGCTGCACAGCCCAAACTACAGACGGTCTGGCCCTTTCCAGAGAAGCTGGTGACCCCTTTAATAGAGGAAATTTAAAAGACCTTCAAGGTTACACTGGGAGGGGGGCCTCATCCCTGTGGGGGGTTAGTGACCTCCGAGACATGCCTGAGTGGGGGGATGCTCTGGCGGGAACGTGGATGGCACCGGGAAGGGCCGGCGGCCTGCTCTGGCATGAGCTTCCACACAGGAATTTGTCTCAAGATGAAAGCGAGCTCCAGGTTCTGGGGGTGTGTCTGATCATCTCCTAACCAGTTCTACCAGTGCACGGGCTCCACACAGACCCTTTCAAGCTCCACAGGTATCCCAGCACTTGCTTCCACTTCACAAACAAGCAAATGAACAGAACATGTTTGTCGTTAGAAGAAAAACGGAGCAAGCAGCATGAAAAGAACGGAGACTTCCAGCAACTCCCTGCAGCGTGAACTCGAGACACACACGTGGGGCATGAGCCCCTCACACAGTTCTGACACGGAGCCGACCCTCCCTGCAGAGCGGCCCGCCAGCCGGATGTCAGCTTTTTCCTACCCTCAGGAACACAGAGCATCAGAACCTTTAAAAAATCCTCACCAATTTGATAGCCAGAATGGCATTTCACTTGATTTAATTCACTTTATTACTATCGTATTGCTTATCGGCCATTTTTACCTTTGGTGGGGAATTGGCCCAAATGTCCTTTGGTCATTTTCCTTTTGGGCTGTTACTGACTTACACGGACATCAGAACTTGGAAACCAAGCGGGGTGTGCCCATGGCCGCCACATCTGCGTTTACTGATTCTGACCCTCCGACCCCCTTTAATCTTTGCTTTCCTGGTGAGGGTCCCAACTGTGGCCTTAAAGAGCAGCATCCCCGTCCCCTTAATCCGCCCCCCCCATCTCCCCATGCTTCTTCTTTCCCCAAAATGTTTTCAAATTCTCTCCAGCAAATGTATTTTATTTTTGTAACTAAGACATGAGTTTAAAAGCCAGGAGAGGGCTGCCCACCAGTGCCAAACCCTCGCCCAGCCTGCCCACACCGCCGGTGGCCCCGCTCTCTCCGTGGCTGGGGATACCTGTATGCGTGCTTGGCTCTCAGCAGCCTGAGGCGGCCCTCGTAGGGAAACATGTCTTCATACTCGAGGAGGAGCCCGTTGGCGCCCAAGGCATGGAACAGAGGAAAGACCTGGGGGCACAGAGACACTGTGAGGAAGCGACTATGTGAAGGAGGGCGACAGAGGTGCCACACGTGGCCTGTCTTCCTGCCTGTGGACACGGGTGGTCGATATTCTCATTTCTCCTGGAAACATTGAACCTGGAACGCGTACTTTGTGTCGCACCGATCAAACTCTGACACGGCAACCTGCTCGCTCAGCACGGGGTGGGGGGGTGCGTGTCCTGCACCTACAGAACGGAGCCGTGGCTCAGTGTCGTGGTTAAGCCCGAGGCGGTGAGGGCTGCAGGTGGGCCGGGGGCGGGCTGCTCCCGGCTGTGCTGACCGGGCCTCCCCATGCTCACCCCCATTTCCTCCTCTACCTTTGTTTCAAAGGAGATGAGTTCTTATTCTCAAGGATTTTCAGGTCTAGTCCACATCTACCATACAGAATTATTTCCTTCCGGTCTGATGTCGTCTGGGGTGGAAAAGGGATCATGGGCACCACCAGAAGGGCCTCCAGCAGGTAACTAAACAGCAAGCCCTCCCCGGACAAGGGTCCCTGCAGGTTCCATGAGACTTTTCACACTCCTGCTGACGTGTCTGTGGGAACTTTCCTTTCCCATGAGCATGGGGACCTTCGGGAGCAAATTGGACGGAAGCAGGAGGACAGCCTGGGGCCAAAACTTCACCGTGCACAACGCACCACCAACAGCTGACGCCAGCTACAAAGAGAGGCAGACAGGCTGGGAAGGAGTGGGCTAACGCAGGTCAGGCCGGCAGCTAACGCCACACAACCTTCTTCGCATTTTCCTACTTCCTCAGCCCGTGGCCATCCGACCGCCACAGCCTGTTTGGCGCTTTGGCTGTTGGGGCTGGTGGTGATCCTGTGCCGTGGGCTGGGGGAGGCTGTGGGGTGGGGCAGCCCGGGTGTCCCCAACACACACTCCTGCCGCGTGCTGGGACGGGGAAGGTCCTCGCTGTAAAGCCGCACAAGTGGGCACCTGCATGTGCGCGCACACGCGCACACACACACACACACGGGTGTGCTATGCCAGCCTCGTGCATCTGTCCCCGAGACTCAACATCGTTTCCCCTAATTTCCCGCTTTCTGACTGGAGTATTTCTAAGCAGATCCCAGACGAAACAACTGTGTGTGTGTCAACACTTCAGTGTACATCCCTGATGAAGGTCTTTTACAGAAACACGACCACACACCAGGATCCCGCCTAACCAAATCTTCAGTGTCATTCCTGTTCAAACCTCCCTGTGCTGAGACCTTCTCACATGTGGCTTGTTTGAGCCCAGTCCAGACAAGGTCATACACTGCATCGTTTGAATAGATCTTTTAAGGTTCTCTGATTTTTAATAATCCCCTCTGCTTTTTAAATTTGGAATTTATTTGTTGAAGAAACCGAGTCACTTGTTTCGTATCATTTTCCAGGTTTATGGATTTGATGGGTGGTATTCTCACGATGTCCTGTAGTGTGTTTGCCCATTTCCTACTCTCGTGTGTGATGGTGGTCAGACATGAAGGGGGGATTGGACCCAGGTGCATTCTTTGGGCAGAAGTACTTCACAGGTGATTCCAGAAGTCCCAAGTCTGGCTGCCCCGGCAGACCGGTGTCAGGCTGACCAGTGCGCCCAGGGGCGTCAGCCAGACCCACGCCTTGAACTTCTGCCGCCCGGTTTCCGTGGCTGCTGACATGCCGTGAAGCCCACTCAACGGGGGCTGCACAGGGTGGGGATCGCAACGCGGTCCTTCCTGCAGTCGCTGGCTGGAACCCTACTTCCTCTGGGCCGTTAAGTGGTCGTTCCAGTCCTGATGCTGCTGCAGCCCGTTCTTGGTCTTGAGTCACTCACTCACTCCTTGGACGTTCACAATAGCTGGCCTGCGGCTTTCGTACCCGATGGTCCACTCGGTTGGAGACAAAATCCTTCAGTATCTTAAATATGTTACGCCCTTGTCTTCTGTCCTAAAATGCTGCTCTCAAAAGACCTGATGCTGATCTGATTATCCTTCCCTCACACAGAACTTGTAGCTTTCCCCCGTGTGCCCAAAAGAGTTGTTCACTTTCATTTTCTTTAAAGTCTGATACATTTAGTAAAAAGACGCCTTAATGTCTACCATCCTTGGTATACAGTGTGCCCTTTCTTTCTTTTTTGAGGATTTATGTATTACTTGAGGGAGAGAGCACGTGCGTGGGGGAGGAGCAGAGGGAGAGAGGCACAAGCGACCTCCCAGCCCAGAGCTGGGACACTGACTCCAGGCTTGACCCCCACGTCCCACGAGTTCGTGAACTGAGCTGAAGCAGAGAGTCAGATGCTTAACCAGCCGAGCCAACCGGGCACCCCAGCTCTGCCCTCTCCGTGTGCAGACCCAAGTATCCCTAGACTTCAGGGAACTGCCTCAGGGGTCCCGAGCACATATTCTCCTCTCTGGGCCCGCTGCAAACTGAAAACACGGCTACAGCAGCACCTTCTGCATCGAGGCGGGGGTCTGTTCCCAGCTGACTTGAGACTCACGGCTTTGGCTCCCGTGCTCTCCAAGACCTGTGAGCACCGCGCTGAGAGGCCGGCCTACCCGCTGGGAGGGAGGGGGCCCGCGTGCAGGACCAGACCCAGGCACCCAGGGGACAGCCAGGACAACTGCTGGGCGCGTGGGACCATCCTGGACCATCAGGTGTTCCTAGTTGTCAGGGGACTGCCAACACGGGAGGGAGCCTGGGGTGGACCAGCCATGGAAACAGAAGGAACGACGAGCTGCTGCCGTAAGACCTTTAGTCTGGGGCAGTTGGCCCGTCCGCCGCAGATAACCGAGGGGCTCCTGCTACAGGTGAGCTGGACCTTCTTTGCTTATCTTCTGTATCTTCCCATTTGTCAGGATGCGTTTATCCCTTCATGCATGGCATTCTCTCTTTCCGTACTTACTTCCCAATAGTACGCTTTCCGCGACGCCTGCTCACTTCGGTTCTTCTCCTCTCATCTGTCTCTCCGCCAGAGGCTGCCTCTTCCACCATGCTCCCTGCACTAGAACCTTTGCTCTGCTTTACTTTCCGTGTCCCAGTCCAGCTCCCCACGATTCTCTCCTCAACACTGTGTTCTTTATGCATGGCTCTGCCTTTCTAGAAGTTTCTGGAAGGTATTTCTGAAAGACTTAGGCCTCTCCAGCATCTTCTTCTGAGTCTTTCTGCACTGCAGCCAATGAAACCTCTCCCCCCTGCTCTCTGACGGAGGACCTGTACTTGCGGGCCTGGGTCCTCTGGTCTTGGACCTGTCAGAATTCCTTCCTGTCTCCTCCATCACCTCCTGCCTGGTTCCTATTCCCACATGGGTGGTATGCTGTACCACATGCATTTTGGAATTCACGGGGATACCCTCATACCTACTTTTGTTGAAGCGTGTATTAGTTTTCTAGGGCTGCTATACCAATGACCACAAACTGGGTGGGTTAATACGACGAGAATTTTCTCTTCCAGTTCTAGGAGTCAGAAATATAAAACATCAGGGTGTAGGCAGGGCGATGCTCTCTCTGAAGGCTCCAGGGAAGAACCCTTCCTTGCCTCTTCCAGCATCTGGTGTTGCTGGCAGTCCCAGCACTCCCTGGCTTACAGCCGCACCCCTCTGATCTCTGCCTCTGTCTTCCCACGGTGCCCCTGTGTCTAAAGTTCCCTCTTCCTATAAGGACGTCACTTACTGGATTGGGGCTGCCTGACTCCAATGTGGCCTCATCTTACGTCCACTGTAATTGCAAAGACCCTATTTCCAACTGAGGTTACATTCATAGGTACGAGTAGTTAAGATTTGAACATCATCTTTTTGGGAGACACAATTCAGCCCACAACAGAGAGGCTGTGGGTCTCCTTTGCTGGGTTCCCTAACCCCTGCCTCCTTTTCCTATCCTAGTTGCTCTGTTCTATGAAGAGATTTGATGGAAATTCATAATGTCTGCTGCTGCCACCATCGTGCCCCTGCCTAGGACCCCATGGTTGTGCTCTCAGCACACATTTCTATAGAATACTGTTCACAACTTTGAAGACCAAACCCGAGGCAAGGAAGATTGTCTACAGGGAAAGGGGCACTTACCTCCGAGAGGTAGGAAACTTTTGGTGGAGCTCCTTTAAGGTCCAAATGAACTAATCGCATCTTAAACGGTGAAGAGCCTGACATTTCACTATTTTTCATGAAGTCATATAACAAAAATCTCTTGTCTGGGCACTTCTTCCTAGTGGAGAAATTCAAAGTTATAAATGGGCAAAGGCCCCTTTTAGCCCCTGCCCTTCCACTCTGTGCTTCCATTCCCACATGCCCAGTTTTGCGTTTTTCGCTGGGAGGAAACTCATTTCACCAACATGAAAATGAATCAAGAAGTCTCCTTCATGCTCAAATAAAGGGACCTCTGCCATTCAATGAGGATTTGCTCCTAAAATAGAAGAGCACTGGTTTCCTCATAACAGGGCTATGATCTGTAACAACACAAACGACTACAAAATAATTGTTTTAAAGACCGTCTCAAGTTGTCCATACTGTGCTGGTGAAAACAGGCATCTTTCAGGTCCTACAGTATGATGTTCTGTAGAAAATTTATCCTTTACTTTCAGGAGCATTAAAAGTAATTTACATTTCCACAGGGGAGGTCAGCTCCAGACTTGGCTGTATGGAAGAAGACACTGAAAATTGGGTCCCAGTCAGAGAAGACTGTCTAGAATCAGACAGGCCACTGACACTTTGAAGAGCAAATGAGTCCCACGTGCGGACTCGCTTCTATTAACTTAGAGGAAGGGTCTGGATGGCAGGGACGTCGCTGCGAAAGAGTGCACCCCCCCCATCGTAAAAAACACAAAGGATCAGATGAGAAAAGTGAAAGAAAATCTCTGCGTACGGGTACGGCTTGCGGGTGGGTCCTTCAAACGACTCGCGCTGCGCGAGGACCCCTGCCCTTGCGGAATCTGGTACAAACCGGCGCACGCAGAACCAGTTCAACTTTCTAAAGCAGAAACCGTATTCAGAACAGTCTCAGCGACAAAATGCCCAGAGCGACGACCCAAGTCACCCCCCGACGGGCGGGTGGGTTTCGTGCAAACGCGTCCCGAACGCGGCTCCTCGAGCCGGACTGTGGGCAAACCCCGCAGACCGCACGCGTCCCCCGGGGCTGCGGGGACGGGCTCCGGCGGGCATGCGCGCGGCGTGGGCAGCCCTCCGCGGCGAGAGGAGCCCGGCCCGACCCCCCGTCCCCCCCCCCCCCCCCCCCCCCCGCTCCCCACCCCTGCCTCCCGCCGCAGACGCGCCGGCTCCACGGCGCCGGCCCCGCAAACCCTGAGAGAAGAGCCGCGGGGGCGCGGGGGCCTCGCTCGGACTCGCTCCCGCACCGTCTACACGGCGAGCGGGCTCCGAGCCCCGGAGGGCAGGTCGCCGCGGCCGAACCGGGGTCCGAACCGGGACGCTGACCGCTGCGGCGCGCCCGCGTCTCCCGGGACCCTCGCAGGGACGCGGCCCCGCCCGGCGCCCTCTGCGCGTCACTCACCTCCTCCCGCGCCGGCCGGCCGGAGCTGCCCCGGCCCCCGGGAGCGCGGCCGAGCGCGGGGAGCGAACGGAGACCCCGCGGTCAGCGCCGGGAGAGGCCGCAGGGCGCGGGAGCGCGGGGCGAGCCCCGTCCCGACAGGCGCACCGAGAGCGCGCGAGCCGTGAACGCCGCGGGAGGGCAGCGCGGGGCCGACGGCACAGCCCCGGCCGGGCCCTGCGGGGAGACCCCGGGGGCCGCGGAGAGCGCGCACACGACGGCGACCGCAGGTCCCCAGGCCCGGCGGCTTTCCGGGGCGGCGGGCGGCGCGGGGCTCCGCAGGGGGGCGCGCTCCGCCCCGCCCTGCTCGGCGCTCGGCCTGCGACTGCTCGGGTCTGGCCGCCAGGCCCGGGGTCGACGGTCGAGCGCGTCGCTCTGCGTCCCCGGCCGCGCCGGCCTCGCGCACCTCTCGCGGCGCTCGTCCCGGGCTCGGGCGCTCCCGCGTTCGGCCCGGCTCCGCAGCGGCCCGGCCCGATGGCGCCTCAGCGGAGAGGCGCGCCCAAGGCGCCCGAGGGCAGCGGGGCGGCCGAGCGCCGGCGCGCCAGCAGGTACCGAGCAGCGCAGGGACCGGCGGGCTGCGGCGGCGGGTGGGGCGTGGCCTTACCGGGGGCGTGGCCTGCAGCGTCCTGGTGCGGCGCAGAGCGGAGGCTAGGGGTTCGGACTTCCCACCCGCACGCGGGTCGGGGTCCCTGCCCCGAGGCCTCCACGGCCGCGCACGGGTTCCGAGGCCCCGTCGTCTCGTCCCTGTGCGCTGTCCTCAGGGCCGGCGCGTGGACGGCCCGGTGGGTGCACGAGGGTCATCACGGACCTTCCGGGGGCTTGTCCGGAAAGCCGTCAGGCCCAGGACGAACGCGGAGCCCCAGAGCTTGCCCAGCGTCCATGGACCTTGCTCTGAGACTCGCCCCTTCTGTTTGGGAGCCCCGCTCCTCCGAGCAGGGGTGCTCGCCTTGAGCAGACCCCGCGGGGGTGGTGCTCCACATCCCGCCAAGATGCAGTTTCTTCGTCGCTTGCGACTCTGTGCGTCCCGCCCTGTCGCTTTCAGACTGGGCAGCCGCGCCCTGGGGAGAAGGTGTGGCCCGCAGCTCCGCCCTGCAGGTCAGGGTTCCAGTCATTTGCTGCTGAGACGGGCTGGCCGTCTCCCTGCCCTGTCTGGGATATGGGGGGAAGAGAAATGATGGGCCCATTGGTGTTGGGTGTCCGGTGTCCACCCTGCTCTGATTAGAGAAGGCTGGGTGGCCTTGAGGCCAGACAGCAGCTCTAGGGGTGGGGGATGTTTTTGAGCTAGGCAGGCCCCTTTTCCCCCTCAGGTATCTGTGGTCCCTGTTTAAAATCATCAGGTATCCACTCAACGCAGTGTGACCATGGTGTGCCCTCCTTGGGATTTATTTGTTGGAATTCGTTTTATTCATATAGCACTGCAAAGCGTTAAGGGACATATAAAAATGGAAGTCAGACTCCTTGCTTTTTAGGGATTAATTACATACTTAAAGAAGGAGGGCACAGCTCCTTAAAAGGGTGCCTTGATCGTTTTTCTTATTTTTTGTAAGTTCTTTGAGCCCTACAGTCACCAGGTCTTTCCTAAACAGAGTACTCAGCTTCCCAGTTACCCACATGCACACGCAAAGACCCACGTGTGCACAGACGTATGCATGCAACTTTAGCATGGCAGTGAGGAGTGTAGGTTGTGCAAAAAGTGTCTTAATTACAAATTGTTTTCATTGTGGTTGTATTCTCTTCTTGACTGGCTCATGTTTTTAGTGCAGTGGCCTTGACTCACACTTAGTGTGTGGCCTGGGTGTGGCATGGGCATGGGCGTGTGGCCCCTGGGCAGGGTGTGGGGCACAGGCCTGGGGCCCTGGGTGAAAGCTTGTGGCCTGGGCATGGGCCTTGGCCCTGGGTGGGGGTGTGGGGCCTGGGCGTGGGCCCTGGGCATGGGTGTGGGCCCTGGCACATGGTTCCTGGCAATCAGTTTCAGTTGTAGGCAGTGTGATTGGCAACACAGATTGGGTTTCTCTGTGGCCCTGGCCGGCAGCCCATCTTGTCGCCAGCACGGGGCAGATGGGGCAGGGGAGGAGGGGCGCCTGCCCTGGCACGTCCTCTCAGGCTGGTGAGTGCCCCTGGATTGGTTGTGAGTAGCTCCGACCCCCATTGCTGCAGAACAGTCACCAAGCGTGGGTACGGTTCCCGGTCATCACCGTCCGTCTTTTCAGCACACACGGGTGCCTTTGGGTGACGGCAGTTGTGTTTTGTCCTCAGCACAAAGAGTGTCCAGGCCCCACGGGAGGTGCAGACAAAGTGGTTGAGAACCGCTGTCCTGGGGGCCTCTGCCGTGCTGGCCGGGCTGCTGCTCTGGAGCAGGCTGGGGGGCGACGATGGCATCACAGAGGTCCTGGCTCACCGCAGCGAGATCCTATCCGGCAGATTCATCGAGGTGCCCTGCTCGGAGGACTATGACAGTCACCGGCGGTTTGAAGGTAGGCGATGCTGCTGCGGCCTGGAAGGGGCAACCTGTCCACAGGGGTGCGCTGCGTTGACGATGCAGTGGTCTTTTGGGACCGTGAATTGGTGGGAATCAGATTGGAAGCGGTGTGGGGGCCGGGGGCAGGGTACGGGCAGACTTTCCCTCCTTCGGGTGGGTTAACCTACACCTGGACTGGGAAAGGCAGGGAGGGCCCGCTGCACAAGGACAGCATTTTACCGAGGTGTCCTGCAGTCTGATGGAGAGACGGGACAGAACCGGAAAGGTGAAGAGGATGAGAACGTTGAAGCCAGAAAAGGCATTGGCTGTACAGTGTCCTAGAGTGTTGTCCCTGCAGAAAATGCCCCAACAAGAAATGTGACCCCTGGGGGCACCTGGGGGGGCTCAGTCGGTTGAGCCTCTGCCTCCAGCTCAGGTCATGATCTCTGGGTCCTGGGATCAAGTCCTGCCTTGGGGTTTCCCAGCTCAGCAGGGGGTGTGCTTCTCTCTCTGCCCCCCACGCCCACTCATATTCTCACTTGCTCTCAAATAAGTAAGTAAATAAAATCAAAAAAGAAATAATAAGGGGCGCCTGTCTGGCTCAGTGGGTTAAAGCCTCTGCCTTTGGCTCAGGTCATGATCCCAGGGTCCTGGGATCGAACCCTGCATCAGGCTCTCTGCTCGGCAGGGAGCCTGCTTCTTCCTCTGTCTCTGCCTGCCTCTCTGCCTACTTGTGATCTCTGTCTGTCAAATAAATAAATCTTTAAAAAACGATCGATTTCTAATCTAATTGCGTTGTAGCTAGGTAACGTGATTTGTATGTTATAGGTCCTTGGATTTTGGCTCGGACTTTCCCTTTTTTAAAGACTGATGTATTTGAGAGAGAGAGAGAGCATGTGCATGCTGGTGGGGGAGGAGGCAGGGAGAGAGAGTTTCAAGCTGACCTCAAGCTGAGTGTGGGGCCAGTCGTGGCTCGATGTCTCAACCCTGTGATCATGACGTGAGCTGAAATCAAGAGTCAGACACTCAACCGACCAAGTCGCCCAGGCGCCCTCCGACTTTGTCTTTGACCCAGTGTGTTTTTGTTAATGTCCTGCGTGGACCGGGGAACCGTTTCCTAATGGGCGCCTGCGGGGATCTCTGGGATCCTCCTGGTCCGCACCGTCACAGATTTGTCTCTTTGTCCATCATGTCCCGAGGGCGGCGTGCGGGAACCTGCGTGACCGCGGGTCTGACAGCGGCTCGGGACTGGTCTTGGTGCTGGCCGTTTCATATCTGAAAGGGTACCGTCCGCTGCTGTTTGTCCGGTCTCCGCCTTCCTGCTGTTTCCTGCAGACATGACCGTCTTTCCCTGTCATGATTCTTTTGTGTGAAAGTGCGGTCGTCACACACAGAGCACGCTCCCAGCTTTCTTTTGATTATCGTTGTATCTGCTTTTATTTTGTACTGTTCATGTCGTCATGTTCAGGGGGTAACCCTTACAAAAAGCATACACGTGGCTTTTGTTTGTGATGAAAACACTGGTGGGATCAGTAGGACCGTGTTTGGTCTCCTGAAACTGGGACACCCCCCCGACGGCCCCCAAGCAGAAGTTTATTTTTCCCACACACCAGGGTGCAGAGAGAGGCCCCCCGGCCGGCCGCTCTGTGAGCCCCTCAGCACTGACGCTCTGCACGTGGCGCACGTGGTCCCGGTCCACGTGCAGGTCCAGGCTGGCATGCAGGCTGCGGCGGGGAAGAAGGGTGGAAAGCGGAAGGTCAGCCGGCCCCACCTGCCCTGAGAGGGCCCTCGGCTCCGTCTCACTGGCCGGGACCCCTACGAGGGAGCGGCCGCCCTGTGCGCTGGAACACCAGGGGTTTGTCAGCCTGTCTGTGTTGGACGCTTTGCCTCATCCTGGCCCCGGCCTCGGCGCCGTCCGAGCTTGTCCACCCCCGGCCCTAAGCAACTGCACATGCCAGCTGTGGAGAGACGGAGGGCGTGTGGGGCGGGACACACGGTGGGCACCTTTGGTGACGGTGTTTGCCAGGCCCTGGGACAGGACAGTGACCAGAAGTATAAGCACAGCTTCAGTCCTGAAGGGCTTTCTCGCGGGGGCTTTGGAAGGCTGGACCCATGGTCACAGGCTGTCACGGACACCACCTCCGGCTCAGGGATCTCTTCCCCAGGGTAAGCAGGCTGCTTTCCTCGGGTCCCCCGGTGTGGGCCGCCTGGAGTGTGCCGTGTCCCGCCGGGCGTCAGTGTGTCCTGCAGAGGGTGCACTTACTCCAAAAAGGTCATTGTTGTGGCTCTGAAATTCACACCTCTGTGGGGGTGTCCTGCATTTTATTTGCCGAATCTGGCCCCGAATCCTGTGGAAGGTGCAGACCCGCCCCGCAGAAGTGCCCTGCGGACGGCCGCCTACAGGCAAGTCCTCGATAAACGCGCGTGGGGTTGTTGGGATTCAGCATGGGGTCAGCATCTCGTTCCCGCCCCACTCTCTGCAGGCTGCTCCCCGAGGAAGTGTGGCCGGGGCGCCACTGACGCCGTCATCAGCAGGGACGAAGCCCGGCGGATCCGCAGGTGCCCAGGACTCTTCTGTCTGAGCAAGTGGGAAAGTAGGGCTGCGGGACGGGAAGCAGACAGTCACTACAGGGGAAAAAAAGACGCTTTAAAGAAATTTAAGAAGGATTCCGTAAGAATTTCCTCGTGCGCTTCCAAGGGCAAAAGTGGGTTTTTCCACTTTCCAGAAGCAAAGGCTGTTGCCCTCAGTGAGGCTGTTGCTGATGGAGCTTGCCGAGGCTTCAGCCCTCTTTGGGGGAAGTGGTTCCGACCTGTGCAGGAGGCCTAGGGACATGCTGCCTTCTTGGCTGTTCAGGGAGCCCCAGTGGGCGCCCGCATGACGCTCCCCGCTGTGGCAGGGGAACACGAGAGAGCAGTTCAGTGTCTGTCCTGAAACCGGCCAGGGATTAGCCCCGGGGGGACCAGCCGTGACTCTGACCGGGCAGGAAGTCTTACTCGGATGCTGTCGACTCTGGAT